TAGGATTGATTAATGTGCTTATTGCAATAAACTACTCATTCATATGGTTGTGGAACATGATTATGATGCTGAGAGCCATGTGATTGATTTTGTTACAGCGAATGGATTATGGGATCTTGAAAAGATGAGACTCTGTTTGCTTAGTACTGTTATTAGCCACATTGCTTGCACTATAACTCCAAGAGTTGAGGAGGGTGAGGATTTCTTTACCTAGAAACCATCTTCAGATGATAATTTTAATGTCTCTTCTGCATGAAAATTTATTGCTATAGGTACATCACCAATAGTTGAGGACTTACAGAGAAAAATTTAGAGCTGGTCAGGACCTGAGAAAATGAAGATTCACCTTTGGCTGGCAACCAAGGGTAAAGTCCATATGGCAGAACTGAGAGCATGTAGAGGGTTACAAGAATTTGATCTTTGTATGTTGGTTGTGGGCAAAATGAGGACATCATTCACTTTCTTCAAGATTATCTATATGCAGAAATTAAATGGAAGGACCTAGTTAAAGAAAGTGAATGGGAAAAATTTAAGAGATTAAGTGGTATTGATTGGAATCATTCTTAAAGACCTCAAACAAGATAGGTGAAACTTGAGGCATTGGTGGTGAGATTAGATGTGGATGGGTCGTTCAAGGAAGGCGAGTCATGATGTGGTGGAATCATAAGGGATAGCTTAGCAAATTGGGTTATCAGTCTCAACTCAATTATTGGTAGCTTCCCTCTTGCGATCATCAAAGTCTTGGGTATCATACTAGGTTTGGAAATTTGTGCAAGTTATGGTTTCTAACAGGTGAAAGTCTATACTGACTATGTTGAGGTGATTAACATCTTCACTTGCATAGATACTTCTAAGCATCCTTATGAAGACATTATTGATTATGCTAGATTTGTATTGTCTAAGCATAGTCATGTTTCTTTAGAATTTGTTTCTAGAGAAGCCAATACGAGTGCTCATAATTTAGCTGGCTTTGCCACTGGTCTAACACGTTCCTTTTGTTCTTATGATCAATCCTCACCTCATTATAGGGAGGTGGGAGATAATGACAAAAGATGGTCTAATATAAGAACTACTGTGTAACTTCTGTTGGGTAATGTTATCATTTTTTATTCAAAAATAAAAAAGCATGGGGAAGTGCAAGGGCCAACATTTTTAAACTTCATTCCAAATTTGAAAATACGATAAACAGGGAATATTGTAAATTGTAAATTGTAAATTGAAGTGTATAAGTAGGATATATGCAAATTTAATTGACCAATGAGGAAGAGGAATTAAAAAATAAGCTAGGTAGACTTGCCAATGAGATTGAAGGAATTTCGAACCAATGAGCTTCATTCTAAGAGATTTGTAGAAGTTAGTTGATAAATAGTAAATAGAATTCTCTTTCTTTTGCATTTGGTTTCTCCATGTCGACTTGGGTGATGGGTCATCTGACTTGGATGAGTTCCAAGTCTGCGAACTCGCATATTCTATTCTCAAGTCTAGTTCTTATTGATAGGATTTTATTATTATTATTTTTTTTTTTGGCCAATTTATTGATAGGATTTAAGAGCAAACTTGAAAACTTGTATAATTTTATTTTTAATTGTGCTAATAATTGTGTGTGTGTGTGTGTGTATAAACGTCAGAGGATAAAAATAAATATCTAAAGGACCCCATTAAACTAACAAAATTTAAATAGAATAATACAAATACAACCAACATATTTTTCTTTATAATTAACCCATTATTTATGAGATAGAGCAACAATTTTCAATAATTTAAAAAAAATAGGTACCGAGTGGCAACCACAGGTTAGTTGGAAAAAATTGTTATAAGCCTGTTTTTACCAAAGTTATTTAAGGGTTAGATTTTAAAAAATTATGCAAAAATGTCTATCGTTCCAGGTTCAATCTTAAAAAATACAGGATTCAATGACTAGCTTGATAGGCCCACCCTAACTATGGTTATAAGTTTGGAAGAATGGCAGCTAACGCGCCTGTATCAAAAAAATTAGCACCTAAAGCTTAATATATTTTAAATTTATTCTAAATGCCTTACATGCAACTATTTTTTTTTGGTAAAAAAATTCATTTGCCCCTCATTTGAAAAAATGACCTCATACACAAGATATTATGTTATTAATGTATGAACCTTATCGTATTATATTCAGACGTTACATATGTTGGTCATACACATATCATGGATAATATTTCTGCAGCTGACATTTTCAGTAGGCTTAGGAGCTTCGATCGGGTAGCAATAAGTAATTCAGATGTTGTTGGATATTGGTGCTACAAGAAAGATGTGTCGCGGTTGCTGTACTTAAGTTAATTGTTTTGTCAAACCAGAATCTATAGTATGTACTTTTGTTGTGTGATTGATTGGAAGCACGTGGCAGAAACTATTTGCTAAGTGGAGCTCCTGAACCAGATAGATTATTAAGCTACCAGTCAATCGGTGGAGCTACCAGCTAGCTTTTAAGTGTACATAATAATGAACTTATGGTGATTCATCAATGTTTCAAAGCTTTTCTTCTTGATTCCCTTTATATAAATAATGAACTATTGCATGTATTGACATTTCCGCCATGTGATATCCAAAATTCCAAATCTCACTGTGTGTTGGTTTAACACAGAATATTGATTCGTTTGCAGCAGGAGCTTAGTTTGATAAATAGTTTAAACTTCGATACAAAATTTTGTTAGATCAAGAAAAGCAGCGATTAATATCAGTTTCTTCTCAAGTTTGTTAACATGTAAAAGCATGTTACTTTGATTGGGGAAAACGTGTAATAAGTATATAGCATGTTGAACATATATTGCGTTGTTAATTTATATTCACTCTTTGACTTCTTTTTGAAGAAAGGTTCATAAATTAACAATAATATGTGCATTCATTATACATAGTTTGTATGATTTAGTTAAACAATTATGTACAAATTTTTCAAATGTATGAATATCAAAATATCCGTATATAATATGATAAAATATATACATTAAAAACACAATGTGCCTTCACTGTATATTATTTATATGGTTTAGTTGAATAATAATATATAAGTTTTTCAAGTATATAAAGTATAAACAATATAATGTCCATATAAAACATGTATGTTAACAATACAATGTCCGTTCAACATGTGTAATTTGTATGATAATTGAACAATAATATACAAGTTTTTCATATGTATATCAATAGAATGTCTATATATAACATGACAAAATATATACATTAACAATACAATATCTATTCATTATACTTTAGTCTATATAGTTTAATTGAACAAGCATAAGTTTTTCTTTCCCTTTAATGAACAATAATGTGGTTTCATTATCCGTTCAAAACTTCATTAACTGTGAATCGTTCTTGCTACTTTGATTCCCTTCCTTTTTTTTTTTCCCTCTCTGTTCATTATTCTTTCCATTTGAAACTGAATTTATTCAGTGAAAGGATATCCAAAATTTTGGTTCAAAGGTCTCTTTACATGCAATATATTTTTGTCCTCTGAAAGGACCGTCAGCATTGAATATGTCTGTCTCTGATGCATAGCTTTCATGTTTAATTAATTAAGGAATGTGTGTCACAGAGTGATTTTCGTTTTCTTTGTGAAATTCTTGGATTCTTTGCATGGAACTTAAATGGAACAAACCACGCACATAATTCTAGCTGGACACAACAAAGCACTGAAAAGAGAACTATAATTACAAGCTGTGTATAGGATTCTTTTATCGCATTTAACTCATGTTATCTTTTAAAAAAAATTTGAAAAAAAAGGAAAAGAAAAGGAAGAAATGTTGCTATCAACGAGATATAAACCATATAAGGTATTATTTACTTAGTTTATTCAATTCATATATTTTAACAAACATTGTGAATTAATATTTTGATGTATTTAAAATAAATTATAAAAAATATCGTATTAAAACTTATTATTTATATATATATTTTTTTTAAAAAACTTACAAAAGTAATAAATAATAAATGAATTAACAAATTAACTCAATTAACCCCTCCACCTTTGAGGTTAGATTAAATCTGAATTGATATAAAAATAAGTTAAATTTAACTCCAATTCATATTTCCCTCATCCATGTGAGCCCATACATCCAGCTCTTTGGGGGCATGAACAAGTTGAATACGTTTCTTTTATTTTTTTGGCGATCAATCAATCAAATCATGTTCGTTTAAAAGATGAGGGCTGATATTATTTGGCGAATCAGATTTGGACATCACGGAATCGTGACTGTTATCAAAGTGGATGACGACTATCTCATGATACCCCGCTATCTAAATAATTTATTTAGATTTAATTCCGTTAAACTCCTTGGAAGGTTGGATAATCTTTCAAAAACAGATGACTAAGTTGGATGAGTTAAATGTTAAGGATTGAATTCTAACTTGGTCAAATTATAATAACTAAATAATTAATCTTTCTAAAAAATAATATATTATTTCATTTTTAATAGATATTTAATTATTTAATATCATTTTTATGATATTTTTCAAAAAATTGCTCTTTTACTTTTTTTTTAAATGCAATTTTCCATTATTTATGGGCCAAACTAAGTAAGACCGACAACAAACACCAACCAACAAATATTCAACACAATTATATAACCAGGATATGAATTTGAGCTCACTAATTAAGCTATACATCTCCCTTGCCAATTTTACCCAGAAATTTGGGGTATTATAAGACCATTCTTACCTACTAGACTGATGCCACCCTTGTAAATGAAAGAAGGATAATAAGTGCACACAACTCAAAGCTATACAGTGGAGTAACATCAATTGCTCTCTTGTTTTTTTACATAGACCTACTTATAAAACCAAATATATATATATATATATATATTCTCAATTATAAAACACCTTATTATTTTTTTATATTTATCTTTACCTTTCTATTGTTATTAAATGTTTTAAAAATAATTCCTTTTATTTTTACTGAAAGGTAGAGGTGAAAATTTATTAAATTTTAAAATAAAGTTGATGAAGTTTAAAATTTCCTTTGATGCTGGCATAACATGCTAGATGGACATGATTTATAAATAGAACCAGAAAATGTATAGATGGTGATGATGCGAAGAGGGAAATAAACATGACTCTATTTGACAAATGCAAGAAACAATAACCCCCAGCATATATTAAACATTACCCCTATCTAAAAGCACAAAAACTGCTCATACGGAGAAAAGTTTTGGCCAAGAAGAAGCTAAGCATGAAAAAAATAAAAACCATCATGCAGCACTCAAGCAATTCTCCCAAGTGCCATATTTAGAGCTGAAACTCCCTCCCCCACTTTGTTGTGCATACTCTGAAATAATTGCACGAGCGCACACATCCCACGTCCGGGCTATCTCTCCCAGGGACATTGGTTCTTGTAAACATCGCAAGGAATTGCTAAATCGTGACTTTGTCTTCACCGAAAGATCTTCATTCTCTTTACTGTCAAAATACAATGACAGATTAAATGCTACTTTGTCTGACAAATAATGATTTTTTGGCTTAGAGAGGAAAATGCGGAAGATGCACATGTTGAAGGGCATGAATTAACTTTTCAGAGCACACACAAGATTGACAATGACATCTAGCATGTAATAGTATGACTCTGTCATCAGATTCCTCCTTAACTCTTTCACTTACTTAAGGCTAAGCTTCTATCATCTTCTACGTTAGATATTTAAAAAAGAAGATAACCGAGTTACTTGGCTTCAGTAGCAAAGGATGATGATAACGACAATTTCTTGAAGTATATTTTTGTTCTTTCTGAAAGATGACAAGTCACGGAATTACAGAATAAAAAGCCTTTCACCTTGCAAGAGGTTTACTTTAGGATTTCTCAATAAAAGTACATGAAATTTAACAGGGTGCAAAACCAACATAAAACAACCAATTTAGACATCTGAAAAAGCTAACAAAGGCCAATTTCATGCAAACTGACGAAACGTTTTATAATAGTATTTGCATTTTATGACGCTCCTGAATTTCATATCCATTTTCCATGTATTTGCTACTTAAGAAGATCATAGCTTAATAGATTTTAATGCTCAAGAATCACGAGAGGCCTGATAGTTGATTGCAGCAATCAACCTGGCATGCATTGACAAAGGCATGCCGGTCAATATTGAAAATACCAAGAGGTACCTTTCAACCATACCTACTCCATTCGTATTCAATTTAACACTACACATTTTCAAAGAATGAAAAGAAGCGGGGTTGGAGCTCTCTCTCTCTGTTTTTTTTTTTTTTGGTCGACAAGTCCCTATTATTGAATCATGCGGATTCATAGTATGCGAGGTTTTGAAATAACATTCTAAAGTTAGAATTCCATACTAATTATTACTATATTAATCAAAGGAACTATTTTTTTCCTTCTAAAATAGAATTAATCTTCTGTGTTGACCTTTGATTGCCGGACAAAACGACGGGAAACATAAGGAACTTATGCGACTGATTTCTCTTTCTTTCCTTTTTCTTACTAATACACTGAAATATTAGGAGTTTTTTTGGTTTTGTTTTCTGTTTTTATGTTATTAAAAAATTCAATAAAATAATTTTTCAGAACAAGGTTTGGAAACAAAAATTGAAAAAAATTGTTTGAATCATTATTTTGAAAAGGAAAAACATAATTTTAAATCCATGTGCTTTATTCACGTTTTACTATTAGTTCTTATACTTTTTTTTCGGTATTTTTAGTTCTTATACTTTTGTTTTTCATTGTTTTAGGTCCCCTATGAGCAAAATATAAGGACAATAGAGGGACCTAAAACAATGAAAAACAAAAATACAAGGATCAAAAACACCGAAAAAAAAATACAACAACCAATAGCAAAACGTGAACAAAGTACAACGACCCAAAATTATGTTTTTCTTTTTGCAAAACATCTCTAAATTGGTAAAATAAAGGGTGAAAAAATAATTTATTTTATTAACAAGATTGTCATTAATGAAATCATAATATTTTCTGCCTTTTCTATAGTTTTGCAAAACAAAAGGTAACAAAACATCTGAAAGATTTTCTGGTTTATTAATTCTCAAGAACAACTTTTTAACTTTTTTGTTTTTCAGAACAGATGACAGAAAATGCATTTTCAAACAGATTTTTTTTCTTCTCTTTTTTTTTCAGGAAAAACTGTTCTTAGAAAAAGTAATCAAATAGGCCCTAGGTTTCTCGCTTTCTCCTTTCCGTTAATAAAAGGAAAGCTCCAATTTGACACCCAAAAATTGGCGGTCTGTAGCTAAAACAAACCAAGCAAACATAGAAGATGCCAAAATGCTCATGCTCTTACCTGGATTCAACTGGAAACTTGTCTAGGAGTATGGGGGAGCAGTTGGGATAATTTGTTGGGACAAGCAACCGTAGGGGCTGAATTGGCGACTGCATTGTGGGAAAGACATGAATAAAGACAATTATACTGCAAAAAAATAAGTAGACATAATATACTCCCCTATTAAAAAATGTAAGGTATTTTTAATTGAATCTCACTCCTTAATAAATTAGTTAACTATTTTCAAACTACCATCATCTTTTCATAAATGAACCTTATTTAATAGGGTGTTTCGCTTAAAAATAAATACAAAATGATTCATTTATTAAGAGCATTTGTGAAAAAATATATTAATTACACTTTCAAACACTAAAAATACCTTACATGTTTTAAGGTCCAACCCTTCAAAAAATACTCTATTTTTTTAACGGTGGGAGTATATGAACGTATGTGCAGCCGTGTATTAAAAAAATTGCAATGTCAATATCTGAGGGCTCACCATCTGTGCTGAAGCATATTGCGACTTCAAACTTGAACTGAGTGCCACAGCATTGAAAGAGCACTTGACAATTGTTCCTTCCGACTCTTCAGCAGCAGCAGCTGCTGCAGTGTGATCAACATCTTCATCACTGATATCTACCACCGTGTCTATAAGCCGTTGATTAATTTCCCTTATTTCCTCCAAAAGGGAATGATTAGCCTGCCATAAAATTCACTGTCACATTCTTACCAAGAAAAAGGAAAGAAAAAGACATCAGTCACATAAGTTCCTTATGCTTCCAGTTATTTTGTCCAGCAATCAAAGGTCAACACAAGATTAATTCTATTTTAGAAGGGGAAAAAAATAGTTCCTTAAATTAATCTAGTAATAATTATTATGAAATTCTAACTTTAGAATATTATTTGAAAACCTCGCATGCTATGAATCTGCATGATTTAATAATAGGGACTTGTCGACAAAAAAATAGGGATTCTGAAAAGTGATCTTGATCATCAATGATCATTGCTATCAATAAGACCAATAATTGTCCAAGTAATTTAGATACTATGTACTCGAGTAAACCACACCAACGAGAAGATTTTGAGCTCAATTTTTACTTGATTGCTTTTCTCGAATAAGGAGGATGTGTTTTTAAAAGGATGAGGGAACATTCAAAACAAACATTATTTCCACAACTCCACTCTTACAATACACAGAAACACTTAGACTATTTATACTAATTGCCATAACTCTTACACAATGTTTGGTAAGAAGAAAAATGTTTTCTAGGAAAAAAAATGAGAAATGAACCTATCTCATTTTCTTTCTAAGTGATTTTTTCATTTCCTTTCTATAAAATATTTTTTCACGTACCCAACATGCAGTTAAACTTCGTCCATTTGATAGGTTTTACTAAAAACCATCACATATTTCTAAGCACATCAATACTCATGATTTTGCTCACGAAATTAAGAGACTGGCGCAGCTCCGAAAAGACAAACACATATGTAAATGCTATTTCCAATATGTATCATAAAGAATATTGGTAATCATTAAACAGATTTTATCAATTTAAACAGTAATAATATAACATCCATCAGCCTTAAAGTCAGATTTTGTTATTGTACAATAATGATTTACTATTATTATTGCTCATTGATTTCCTATCATTCAATCATATTAAAATTTGAATCTTTAAAAGATAGGATTACTCCCAAATTTGATCCTAATATAATTAAAATGCATTTAAATCCCTATCTTAAATCTCTTCACAAGGCACATTAGTGACTGCATTTTCAACGGAGCATTTTTTCTAGATTTCTAGGTTCCTAATCGATAGGAGCACTAGTGGCATCCAACAAGGCATCCATAACTAGAATCCATTTATGTTAATGGGTTTCAGTTTTTCTATTTTCAGTGTATTTTCGCCCCTATTTTTTGAGTAATTTTTTTTAAGTTAGTGTTTTAAGGCCTAATAACCTATTATGGGTTTTTGGGCTTTTATCCATTAGGGTTTTTAGAGAGTCCTAGTTGAGTCAGGAGTCTTTTATTTTTTTAAATACTATTCATATGCAGAGGGCATATGGAGAGCGTATTGAATAAAAAAGTTATTTCTTTTTAAAAAGCTTTGCTTGTTTGTTGGGTTTCTGGATTGAATGCCATGTAGTTTTTCGAGTAGTCATGGCATTAAAAGTTCATTGTTTGATAGTTTCTAGGTGTGATTCCAACTCTGTGCAAATATTTTCAATTAGTGTGTTCTCTGTCAGATAACACATCATGAGATTTTGAATTATCATGTAGGCTTTCCAGCAAATGGCAAATGTTTTCATAAGAAAAATGTTTAGCCAGAAGTTTCATGCCAACCCCTTGTACTCCCTCGTTGTTCTTACATAAGCTGGAAATTCTCTAAATGCAGCATTCACTACATAAAATTGCACCCCTTCTAGGCTCTCCCCTTGGTTCAACTAATTGTTGATGTGTCAGAATCCTTGAAGTGAAAGTATCAGATTGCAAATAAACTGCCCTTGGATTTAAGTGAAGAAATCTACATTCTTAGTGTAACAAAAAGGGTGCTAACTTTTGTAGTCAATATGTAAATTCAAACTTGCATTGATGCCCTCTTTCTAATAAAAAAAAGTTACAAGAAGAAAACCATTGACAGTAAACCTTTAAAATATAATCATTTAAAACAAAGCATAATTGAGTACCTTAATCCTTGGCTTCTTGATACTAGCTGTTGTAGCTGAATCCAGATCAGCAACCTCCAAAGCATTTAACTGCTTCATATTATTATCCATGCAATCAGGAGATGATACAACATTCAAGGGCATGGCGCTCACAAAACGCCTTGTTCTCTTGGTTCCATTGGTTCCATCTTGGTTGATGAAATTTCTAGTCTGAAGACGACACTTGGTCATGGCAACCAAATCCTCACCTACAGCAGCTCTAGATCCATTGCCTGGCGCTGATCCTGCTATCCTATCAATCATGCTAACAACTGAGCCAATGTCACTGACAGCAGCACTTAATGCTTTGGGTGACATTGATTTTACCTGGAATATAATCAAGACATAAATTTGTCATCTGCAACTCCAAAAATAAAATCATAATCATGAGGCTAAAGTATACTTTTAGTCCTCTAACTTTATATGAGGTTTTAATTTGATCCCTCAATTTTATAAAGTATATTTTTAGCCCTTTAGCCCTAATATTGTCAGTTTCAAATGATCATTTTTTGTGTCATTGTTATTTTGAAAAAAATTAAACTTAATATGTCAACATTTGAGAATTTTTTATCAATATTTAAAAGTTCAATGAAAAATTTTGTTAGGATGAAACGAACAGTGCTAGGGTTTAAGGATTAAAAAAGCGCTTGTTAAGGGACTAAAATGTATACTTTAGCCTAATCATGATGATTTGTCATTGCAAGATACTTCTCATAATCAGTTAACTATTAGGCATAGCAGTTAGCTTCACTGACCGCTTTAATTAGGCATTCAATAGGCTGTTCTGCAACAGTTAACTTCGCAGAAGAGGGTGCCAAGGCATTACCATGAGCACCATCTGCACCACTGAACTCCTCTAGCAAAGGAGAAGGTGATATCCCAGGAGTCCCTATGGCAAGGGATTGAGCTGGCACTGTTGCAATCCTTGTTTGTTGATGTCCAATATTGGCGGCATTTGATACTGATGAGACAACAGAAATGGGTTTTTCAGAATCTGGCATAAGAGATGGAGCCAAGGGAGGCGAAGGTGTAGGGCCCACAAAAGTTGAGTTAGCTGATTGCAGAGGGGTAGAAGCTTTAGTGAAAGATGAAAGATTTTGCTGGTCAACCTGGGGAGAAGGATGTTGCTGACTCTGAGGAGATGCAGGCTGAAGGATATGGGGTGAAGAAACAGGATATGGACCCCCTGGTTTAAACTGTTGATGGGGATAAGCTGAACGTTGACCAGAGGGAGGATGTTGCTGGAAGGCCACTGGCTTCACACCCAATCCCTGTTTCATCTTTACATCAGTAATATCACTAATTTGGTGAAGCGGAGGAATTTGATGTGTCTGCATGTGTGCAGGCACCTGTTGCTTTGTCACCTGTTGTAACTGCTGCTGCTGCTGCTGCTGCATCACCTGCTGCCTTTGAAGCAATTGCCGCTGCTGAATATGTTTCTGCAACATCTGTTGTTCCTGTGGTTGTTTCAGTTGCTGGTGCTGAAGCATACTGGAACCTGGCTGAAGTGGGTTTAAATTTTGTTGGAGCACACTTCCCCCACCTTGCGATGATAAAGAGTTGATATTAGTTTGTTGAGGAGCATTCAGAGTGTTAGGATGAAGGGAGCTTGCTGCAACCTGCTGTAGAGAGTTCACAGAACTTGAATCTAAGTTGGCACCAGGTTGCACAGACTTAATCATGTTCTGCTGTATTGTTGATGCACCAGACAAGGCAGGGCTAGAATTATGCTGCAAGCTTGCCATATTATTCTGTGGCATTGTCGGTACGGAACTCTGTAAGTTTGTTGATTGTATCTGAGAGTTCATTTGATTTTCATGAGGCTGCACTTGATGAAGTTGGGATTGTTGCTGTGACACTGAGTGCGTATGAGATGGAGGAAGTTGCCCGGAAGACATGGGTTTCCTGGGCTTATTTGTATTTATAAAATTTATGATCTGCTTCTCATATGAAGCCATTTTATCCTTCAAGCTAGGCACAATATTGTCCTTGGGAACCTGTAGAAATTGTATGAGGCGCTGCAACATTGTTTTGAATATCTTCAACTTCTCAAGCTGCTCTGACTTTGGTTGTTGTGGAAGGGATTCATGCTGATAGATGAAACCAGATTAGAGGTTAGATAAAGCTTCGTAAGATGTACTGAATATTATATGCAGACTCAAGGTAAATTAAGAGTTTTCTTTTGGAAAGAGGTGACGGATTGATGCTTAGCACATGCTACAATGGTTGAACAGTGCAGACATTATTCCAGATATTCTATAGTTGAAGCCACCACAGCCATGATAATTGCTATGGAAAGAATGATTTATCCATATATGTTAAATTTTCTGAATATATTTTGAGTAAGTAAGAAATTATATAAAGAAAGAAAAATAAAACAAATGACAAGGAATGAATATGCTTCAAGGAAAAACACAGAAGAAAACAAAAAAATGAAAAAAAAACCAAGAAAAAAAAAACAAGAGTTGAAATACCTGCTGAAGTCTAGATGCAATTTTATTGTACATTTCATTCAATTCTGGCAAGTATAAATCTTTCATGGACTTGATCTGTAAGTCAAAATCAACAGAAACAAATAACTAAAACATTTAAAACCAAGAACTACAATGGAAACATGCATGTGTTTCATTCTTGCTAATGCTTTTCTTCTTAAGCAAGGTTTTAAAAATCGGAGCTTTCTAAGTTTTGCGCTAGCATAAGGGAGTGTTCAAAACCATTCACGTGTGAAAACACAAATTGACATCTGAAACATATTGAAGTATAAGACTGCAAAAAATGAGTATAAAATTTTGATGTTATTTAACTCCTAGACTAATAAGTTCATTGTCACTTTCCATTTGTCAATTGATTGGCTATGTTCAGAAGTTCCAGTCAATTCTCACGTGGAATTGAAGTAATTAAAAAAAATGGGATATTACCCTTTGGTACACCTCTTCTTGCCAATCATCCCCACTAGATTTTCCAGTCTGTGCAGTTGAATCTAGAGAAGCTACAATATAGTTATATTATACACAAATAAGCATAGAGGGCTCAACATTGGCATCTTTCTAGAAACAGAAATAACAGATGAAAGAATAGATAGAAGACATGTTGAAATGCTATAGCCATTAACTGACAAAAGCAAAATGACAGTGAAAAGCATAAATGCAACAGCATACTTGATGATGAATCTGGAAGGGTTCTTTGTGACTGATATAATTGCTTTTGATGATCAAGTACATTTTGCTGTTGAAGCAACGAATTCGATGCCTGAAGCCTCTGCTGCATATCTCGTTGTAAGGGATTTGGCTGCTGCTGCAAACCCAACTGCTGTTGCAACTGTGCAGGCTGAGATTGTATCTGTGGCATTAATTGCTGCTGTGGAGCCTGTGGCTGTGATTGCTTCCCTTGTGATTGTAATAAATTTGTTACATTTTGTTGGGATTGTTGCTGCATTGGAACCTTAGATTGCTGTAGCATGTGCGCAGAGTGCTGGCTAATCTGCATGCCTGAGTTGCCAGACTGAGTTGCAAGCAGCTGCTGCTGCTGTAACCCTGGGACGTTACTTCCCAACTGTTGCTGATGCATATTTGAGAGATTGTTTTGCTGATTTATCAATTGCTGCTGCTGCAGGTTTGGAAGATTATTCTGCTGGCCAACAAGAAACCTCTGATGTTGCTGCATATCACCTACATTATTCTGTTGCCCAAGTAGCTGAGGATGTTGCATGCTTGTTACATTTGACTGCTGTGCTAGAAGCTGCTGCTGCTGCTGTGGAGGCAGTACTGGCTGTTGGGTAATTGGAGTTTGTTGCTGGTTAATAACTGATGTCTGTTGTTGCTGTTGCCTGATAACTGATTGGGAATGTTGCTGAAGCATGGGTTGTGTTGACTGTTGGACATTATTTGATTGCTGATTCTGCTGAAGGCTGGAAAGAGATGTTTGCATAACAGAGGGCTGGGAAGATTGCAATTGATTTGGCTGTAGGTTAGGCTGCTGCTGCTGCTGCTGCTGGATGTGCGGTTGCATTAGTGGGTGTTGAATGTTCCCAGGCTGGAGTTTATGCTTCAGATATTGCTGTTGAAGCTGTTGCTGTTGGTACATATACTGCTGTGAATTCTGCGATTGCTGTTGCTGTTGGGGAACAACCTGCTGCCTTGGCGGCGTTTGTCTCTGAGAACCACTAAACATATTACTCTGCATGTTGGAATTTGGGCCAACAACATTTTGGATAGGAGTCTGGCCTATATTGGATGCAGGAGGAGCAATGTTGTTTTGCATGTTTTGAGGTAGAAGTTGTTGACGTGATTGGGACTGATTAGGCAATGAAATAGCATGAGACTGCCCTGGATTGTGAACTTGAGAGATAGAGATAGAGGGTTTTATTAATTATGTCAGAGGAATAAGAAAAAAGAAGTTAACTAATATGAATCAAAACCAAACATGAGAACAATAATTTATAACAAGGAGAGGATGCAGAGCCAGATAAGGAAAAAAGAAGGGAGAATGACAAATAAGGACCTTTGAAAGATATCAAGGACCTTTCATGGCTGAAACTTCAGGAATTTACAACTCAAATGTTTTTATTTTAAATTAATTTCCTAACAAGGTCTTCAACTGTCATTCTCCCAAAAAAGAAACTCTAAATGTTAATGATATTTCCACTAACAGGACACCATAAGGATAACAGCAAATCATATTGAGAAAAAAATTGTTTCATTGATTGTGTCTGCAAGCTATTACTCATCACATAAACTGTCACCTCTGAGTGGTGGCCAGAATTTCAAGTATGTAAAAGATACAACAAGAGAAGATATAAAAGAGCTGATGAAGTCAGAAAATCACTTAAAAAAACAGGATGACAAGATTATGTCAAATGCCTCATTACATATACAGACTTCAGCAACAGATCAGTACACTGTTTCCAAGCCAATACTATTATTGCGTATGAGAAAAAAAAATAATATTTATGCCAACCTGAATCAATAGGCTTGTTGCTAGGGCCACCTGTTTTTGATTGCACAGGATTGACCAAGGTGCTCTGGGTTTTATTCTCCATTGTAAGCATCTTCAAAGATATTTTCCGAAGATAATCAGGCTGAAATAAGGGAGTAGCACATAAAGCAATCAAACTTTGATGTTGTATGTGTTAGCAAAAGTAATACAAATGAACGTGACAAATGTGAGAGTAACATGCGTCATTGTGGATGAACCTGACTGGTGGCAGCAGTATAAATTTTTTCTTCAAACCTTTGAGCAATTTTGCGCAATTCAAGCAATCCCTCTTGTCCAGAAACAGGAAGATGTCTCTTTAACGTATCCATTCTTTAACATGAAAAACATAAGTTCAATAGTACAAGTCACCAAGATATTAAGAATGATAGAAACTCTCCAATGAATTTATGATTGTTACCCAAAGCATTTATTTTAAAATATCAACAAGCTACTAACCCTAAAAAGAGGTAGCATAACAACAGAAAAAAGATCTTTTCAAGAAATAACCTTGTACTAGAGAAAAGGATAAGAAACCCTCTGGTTATAACTTTCAAGTCAACAACACCGTACATGCATTGATAATATAACCCATGACAAAATTTGCAGAACATCAATTTCTCTAAGAAATCATCGAACTATGTTCTAACCAAATATGTCAGTGGCTGGCAGAGTAAGCACATTCCCCAACAAAAAAGAGGGGAAAAACGGAAAAACTAATTCTCCTTACTTGTTTCACTTCTATAACATGAATAAGCATGAACTTCTCTATAATCCAAGGGCACACAACACACCCATGACTCACGATGATACCAAGGGAATCTCCCAAATTATTCTATAGTACTGCAATCCAATAAAAATAGATTGAAAAGCTTCAAAATCAGATACATTGATGTCAAACACAGAAGGCATTGACAAGCCTTCTCTTTTCCATATAAGATTGTGCTAATCCATTGCAAAAAGAATGCAGAACACTGGAATACTAAAGCTCATGAACTAGAAACACAGCATTGAAAATCCAACATTAACAGGATTCATATGGACAATTGGTTTGAAGAAAGAGAAAGGAAATCTTTTATTCTACTCTTCAGCTGTCACACAATTTTTTAGATTCTTTTCATATCACACAGGTGAAAACAATTTACATAACTAAAGTGAGACCGTATTAAATGAAAATTACATCTTGTTGACAATTCTTTGACGGGCATCAGGTTGCAGTTGAGCTCTCCAATCACTTGTATCCATAGAGGGTTCAGTGCCTTGAGTGGGTCCCCAATTGGTATCCATCGCATTTGAATTTACTGAGACACCAGAGAAAACACTCTAATCAAACCAGACTCTAAAGGAAGAAAATAGAGGAAGAAGTTGTGCATACATATGTACAAGAGATCTTATACTTATTACGACTACTAGAATTTGATAATCTGTCAGAGGCTCAAATCACAGTTCTACCTATACAATGTAATAATTGATATGTTATTCAACAAATGCAAGTAGCCAAAAGAGGGAAACATAATCCACGCAGGTAATTGGTGGTGGCTAGGTCTTATAGGAGAAATCTTGTGCTTCCTTCTCTTAAGCCAATAATTTGAATACGATGGACAAAGGACTGAGGGGAGCCATACTGTATATAGAGGCACGAGGTTATAGTGGCAAATTGGGAGCAACAAGTTTTCATATGATTACCTGAATTAGATTACTTTAGAGTTTTGATTATATCTATAACATAAAATGTTCGCTAAACATGCCTAAGATTTATCATGAATTTCCATTGAACTTTATAAGGTTTCACCATAGTCCCTTCCTTAGAGTGTTGTTACCCTGCACTATACTGGGGAGTAATGTGTCCAAAACTATATAATGGTATTATTACAGTATTTCATTTGTCAAGAAGAAAAAAATGACTGGTTTGTAATTTAACTATCGGTTCTCAAGCCAATAATTTCGATTAAAAAACAAACTTGGTTAAAATTCTTCCCCGTATCTCCTCAATCCATCCTCAATAACTCTACCTATCCTCACTTCTTATTCCAGATTCCCCAGTCTTGACCTGTTCTCAACCTAGCGCACTCCAATTTCGAGTTTCAAATTCAATGAATAAAGCTCGTCGAATTTAGTTAAGAGTACAATAATAATCGACAAATTAGACCCTCAAGAACTTAAAAGTTTCAACAATCATTCCAACCTTGAGTATAATTCTCTCTTTTCCGCCTTCAATTAACTTTATCCCAAATAAACCAATGCTGTCATCAAGCTTAAAGCTTCTCCATAATCCTAGTGACTTCCAGTAAGAAGCTCATAAGCAATGGAGGGAAACGAATCAATTTTCACAAGCGTATCCGAAATAAACAATCCGAAATCGAAGAGAACAATTTATTATTCCAGGAGGGAAAAAAAACAAAATAAAAATTTAGAACGGCAATTATAACAATCATACCCAGAGAAAGAGAAATACGAGGAAGCCAGAAGGCGGTGACCGCAGTCGGCCTATGGCAGTCGCGGCGGCGTGACTCGTGGGGTGGTTCGCGTACAAACTACAAAAGCAGAGCTCAGAAAGAAATGTGTGGAAGGCGAAACGACTTTTGAAAACTTGACTAGGAGACAACCCAATTATGCATAGGCTTCACAGGGAATCCGGGTGATAACTTTATTTTTCATGAAACTTGAGGACAAATGCCAGCACTGTATTTTATTTTTTTGGGCAAAAATTTTGTTTGATTTCGTTTAAAAAATAATCATCACTATATGATTAATATATCATTAAACAATTGGCAAAAAAATCATATAAAATATAAAAATAGATAACAGATTATATTATGATTATGATTATAATATTTGTATGTATTGTACGTTTTTTTTGGGTGAAATATGCATTGTAATTATAATATTTATAATTATAAAATTATACTCCCTCCGTTTAAAAATATAAATTATTTTATAAATTATTTTTAATCGAATTTTATCCACAATAAAATAGTTACCTACTTTTAAATTAATCTTATTTTTTTATATTTATCCCTATTAAATACCTTATAATAAATATGAAGTCGTTATCAATAAGGACGCTTTTAAAAAAAGTAATGATTACAACTGTAAAAACTAAAAATATTTTACATTTTTAAACATCCAACTTTTCAAAAAATACCTTATATTTTCTAACAGAGGAAGTAGATAATACATAATTTTTGGCCAAAAAAATGCTATAATTATATTATGGACACCTTTTAATATTTAATATAAAAAATTAATTTGCAAGTCCCAATAATTTTGTTTACTTTTAAATTAAATCCCTACAATTTATTTTATTTTAACCAAATCTTTATAGTTTGATATATTATAAAAACTAAAATACATAAAATCTTTTTAATTGCATATGACCCTCTCACTTTTAAACATTAAAAATTAACTTTCTGGGACAATATTAATCAAGGATCACTAGAGAAAATTTATATTAATTAAAGACCAATAAATTTTGAAATTGCACTGCAGTCCTATAATTCTTGGTTGATATTAAATTTTTACATGAAATGATCAAATTACCCTTAAGGTTTAAAGTAAAATAAAACAAGCCACCCTACTTTCATCAATGCTAGCTATCAAACTACTGCTAAAGCCCCAGTTGGCAAGTAGGTCGCTGAAGTCCCTACCAATAATAGGGTCACAGACAACAAGTCATCAAAGTTGTGGCACTAGTGACACTTTTATTTAGGTATAATTGATAATGGTGGCTACGGAAGGGTTTGATCCCATGACTCCTTAGTTATCAAGCCCTTTAATTGTATATAAAAAAGAAATATAATTAATAAACTAAGCTTCTAATTACTTTCATGTTATAACATAATAATAAGAATTAAGGGACGAATTAGAATCCAACATTTAGTAGCTTTAATTCATTATGGGGTATGAGAGGACCAATGACTAAATCCCAAGTCAAGAGGATGAAAGAATATCTAAATTTATTAATTAGGGATGTTTTAAATCACCAAAAAGTCTTGAAGGCAAATCGAGTTTTTATAATGTAATAAAAAAAAACTTTCAATATATTGGGCCTAGCTCAAGAGGTTTAGGCTTATAAGCCCAATTAGTTTAGTTATTATTTTTTAAAATTTAAAAAATTACTTTATCTTATTTTTATTTTAAATTTAAGTTTAGAAAAATTAGTTTATTTTGTTTTAATTCAAATAAGAATAAAATATATCCATTAAAATATAATCTATCCATTTGAAATCTTAGGTTAACTAGGATTGTGTCATATAGGTTTTTAAAAGTCTATTTAAATAGTTAAATTTTTTGTATTTTTAGAAAAAAGACTTGATTGAATTTAAAATTAATTTTTTTCAATTATAAGGCTATTTTAATTAGTGTTATTTTTCATGAAATAACACACTGTGGGATTTCAAATTATTGTAAACTATCGTTCAATCGTCTTGTATCACATGACAAAATTAAAGGTTGAGAGAGTTAATTTTAGATACTGAAAAGTGAGGAGATCATATACAACTGCTTCAGAGTTTGAGGATTTTATAATTTTAGCCTATTATATATGTTAACCCCTAAAGGTTAAAATTAATAATAAATTATTAAGTTTTATAAAACAAAAATATTCTTGAAGTTTATAGAAAATTTAATTTAATACTTTTAGCCAAAATAAATAATAATAATTTAATACACTGTTTACATTTTTATTAATTTTTTATAAAAATTCTATATGCAAAAAAAAATTTAGGAAACAATCTAATTATATAAATTTTCAGTTATGAAATTTAGGTAATTAATTATAGAGTTATATACATTCATTTAATAAAAATATATAAGTTCTTAAGTTTTTTTTAAGGAAAAATTTTAAGGATTTTAACTTTCAGAGCATCATTTTCGCTAAGAAATAATGGCATTATGTTCTAACGAAATATGCTAGTTGCTGGCAGAGATAGCCCGTTCCCCAACAACAAAAGGGGGAAAACTAATTCTCCTAACTTGTTTCACTTCTATAACATGAATAAGCATGAACTACTCTATAATCCAACGACAATGATACCAAGGGAATCTTCCAAACTATTATACAATATTGCAATCCAATAAAATTTTATTCAAAAGCTCTAAAATCAAATAAATTGTTGTCAAACACACATGGTATTGACAATGCTTCTCTTTTCCATATGAGATCATGCTAATCCATTCAAAAGCTCATGAACTATGAATACACCATTGAAAGTTCAATATTAACAGGATTCATATGGACAAATTGGTCTGTGGAAAGAGCAAGGAAATGTTTTACTCTACTCTTCAGCCGTTACACAATTTTTTAGATTTTTTTCGTACGACATTCAGGTGGAAAACAATTTACATCACCAAAGTAAGCCAATATTAAATAAAAATTACATCATGTTGACTAATCTTTGACGGGAATCAGGTCGCAGTTGAGCTCTCCAATCACGCATATCCATAGAGGGTTTAGTGCCTGAAGTGTGCTTCCAATTGGCACTCATGACATTTGAATTAACTGAAACGCCCAAGAAAAACCTCTAATCAAACCAGAATCTAAAAGAAAGCAAATAGAGGAAGAAGTTGTGCACATATACACACACACACAGAGACACACATACATATATATGTACAAGAGATCTCATACTTATGATGACTAATAGAACTTGATAATCTGTCAGAGGCTCAAATCACAATTCAACCTTTAGGTTGTAAGAATTTCTATGTTATTTGACAAATGCAAGTAGCCAAAAAAGGGAAACATAATCCATACAGGTAGTCAAGAAGAGGTTAATTCTTATAAGGAGAAATCTTGTGTTTCCTTCTCTTAAGACAATTTGAATATGATGGACAAAGGAGTGAAGGAGTGAGGGCAACCATACTGTATATAGAGGCCTGTGGTTATAGTAGCGAATTGCAAGAAATTATGGTTATGGTGTATCTTTGTTATACAAAAATAAAAGGAAAAGAAAAATAGTCTTCAGAAGATTTCACAGTTGGCAGGCATATCAATGAGCATTAACAGGTTTTCATATAATCTAAATTAGATTACTTTAGAGTTTCGATTATATCTATAACATAAAATGTTCGCTAAACATGTCAACCTTGAGTATGATTCACTCTTTTCCGCCTTCAAATAAGTTTACACCCCTGAATAAACCAATATACTTCAGCAATATTGAAGCTTCTCTATAATACCAATAAGGGAAATGAGTCAATCTTTCACAGCGTACACTCCTCTGAAGCAGTGCTTATAAAGAAATGTGTAGAAGGCCAAACGACTTTCAAGAGTCACCAAGGATACATATAGCTATGTTGCAGAAAAGGTCCAGCAAAAACTTGCAAGCGACAAAGCGAGATCCCTCTCTTCGATCGACCGAAAGAATCACTCTTGCAAAATCTGTCATTTCTAACTAAATACAAATCTTCTTAACTAATATAACAGCCATGTAACAATATGGAACTATCCAAGTGCAATATGACACAAGGAAGAATGTAAAATATTAAGAGAAAATCTTTGTAAGAACGTTAATATTAAATTAGAAATCATAGTACTAAAATATGATATAACAAATACTGAAATTTGGGAATGTTAAAAAATCTTAATTTAATATTAATATTCTTATAAAGTCATTATTTGTCATTTTGCCAAATAGTATTGAGCATTAAGGACCTATAACCCTGCAAAATTCCTTCAACGCAATAGCCCATTTGCACCTTCCAAGTAAGCTTGCGTCACACACAGAATTGAAGCTGGAATTAAGAACCTAGAAAGCTGGAATTAAAGCCTTCCAACCACAACTTGCTTTTAAGCTCATTACTCTCCCGAAGCTGTTGTGGGCTATACTGTTATTATTCTTCAGGCTAAGCCAGGCAATATTTTTTACAATAATATATTATCTTTTTTTTACAATAATTATAATACTTTTTAAATTTACTAATTATATAATTCTTATATATACATATCAGAAAATTAATGTTCTTTTCCGTCATTCTCAATATAAACTTAATTTCTAATTATATTATTCAAATAAACTTTAATTTGTTAAACTGATTTTTTTTATTTAAAAAATGATTAAGGTTCAATTTTGCCCCTATACTTGTTTTTAAGGAGTAGTTGGGCATCTTATACTTTTGAATAGGGCAATTTTACCCCTAAGTTATTTTTTTGAGAAGCCAAAAACCCCTTCTATTAATGCCGTTAACTCTGTTGTTATATGCTGATATGGCATGTGTGTGAAACTCATGCACAATGACATGTAAGACTTCAACCATGGTGCTAATTTTTTTCTGAACTCTTATTTAGTAGTGCTAGGTACTCTGAAGTATTGTTAAAATAAAACTTAATAAATAATATGAAATTATTAATTATTTTAATATTTAACAATTTAAATATTATTATTTAAAAACATTACACCACTCATTTAATATTTTAATATTTTATAATTTTGTATTAAAAATGAAGGATATGAATCTCCAAATTAATGAAGGGACTTTTTTTTCTCATTTCTTCATTTTTTTCTTGTTAAGTAACTTTTTTCATAGCACATTAATGGAATAAATGATATCTTTTAAATAAATATTTTTGTTGTCGTTTTGGTGATCCTAATTGTCATATTTTTTATTTTATTCCTAACAGTTTAACGTATAAAAAGTATTAAACTTGGGTAGTGTAATTTTTGGAGGAAGATTGTTAGCTGACAAAAAAAAATTAAGGATTTAGTCATTTTCTTGCAAATATAAGTTTCGACACGCATAAAAAAGCATAATGATTTTGACACTGTCTCAAAAAAAGATCAAAAATTGATATATAAAAAATAAAAATTCATCTATAAATTTATAAAATATTAGTTTGAGTTGTTAATATTTAAAAAGTAATTTATAAATTTTGAATGAATATTTGTAAATAATAATATTTAAATTATTAAATATAAAAATATTAAATATTTTGACAATATTTATTAAATTTTATTTTAATAAGACTTCAAGGTATCCAGTACTCTTAGAAAAAGACTTTAGGACACTCAACACTTCTGAAAAAAGAGTTTAGAGGCAAATTAGCATCAAAGGAGATGGTCAGAGTCTTACATGTCATTATGCATGGGCCCCATACACAAGCGACGTCAATATATAATGGCAGAGTTAACAATTCATTAATAGAGGAGGTTTTTTGCTCCTCAAAAAAATAGTTTAGAAGTAAAATTGTCTCACTTAAGAGTATAAAGTGCCCAGCACTTTTAAAAAATAAGTAAGAGGGTAAAATCGAACTTTAACACTAAAATTAAATATAAATTACATTACTGTAATCAAATTTCATCACAACTTTAAATTTAAATTCTATGCTGTAATTTGTAAAAATTTTAATTTTTTTTTTGTACAAAGTGGAAGGACTACAACAATTTAATAGGTCAACTTCAATAGCTTTTAAAAATATACATTAATTTTCACCATTAAAATTTGATTTAAATGGTTCAAAAGTTTAGTATATTAGGAGAAAATGGAAGAAAAATCCCCTGAAATATACATATGATAATAAGTTCCATAAAATGTCATAATATTTTTCAAGTCTCTAAAGACCTTCTTGACATTGAAAATTTTTAGTAAAATTACTAAAATACCTTCAATTTAAAATGAAAAAGTAATACCTTAAAATAATAAATATTAGTAACTATTTTAGTTTAAGTAATGACTACTTTTTTTATAATAATTAGAGTGGAACAAGCAATTATAATTTTTCTGTACAATTTTTTGATTTATTAAAATACAAATATTACAAATATATATTACCACTTTAATTTAAATAATGACTATTTTTTTAAAATAAAATAAGTAATTATAACTTTTCCTATGTCAATTCTTTATTTACTCAATTCAAATGTCATAAATATTTGTTATTACTTTAATTTGAGCAATAATTATTTTTCTATTATCAATGACTAGAACGGGACAAATAATTACAATTTTTTGTGCAATTTTTTTATTTATTAAAATTTAAGTATTGTAAATATTAATGATTACTTTAGTTTAAGTAATAACTATTTTTCTTCTGACAATGACTAAAATAAATAATAAATTATTATTTTAATTTAAATTAGAGATATTTTAGTTATTTTACTAAAAATTATTGATATCATAAAGGTCTTTAGAAACTTAAGAAGAGTTATAGTGTTTCGCTAAACGTCATTATCATTTGTATATTTTAGTAGGATTTTTCTATCATTTTCAATATAAATGTGGTAGAAAAATGTTAGTAAAAAAAAAAGTCTATTATTAACTATTAAGTCTTATTTTTAACATGTAGGTCTCAAAAAATGAAAGGAAAAATGATAATAAAATTTCTCTAAATTATATAAATTACAATATAATCTCTTAAAATGTTATAATTTCATTAAAGTTTATAGAGATCTCTCTATTAATAAATTTTAAATTAAAAATATTATTTTATTATTATTAATAAGTTATAATTTTTTGTTCAATTCTTTAAATAAAAGTTGTGATTTTTTAGACAAAAATTGGGAATGACATTTTTTATTTTAAAAACTTTTTTAATAATAAAAATTACACTTGATAAATTATGATTTTTTATGTAACTCTTACAATTCACAAAATAAAAGTTATTCTTTAAGCATAAATTGTGATTGGAGCTTACTTTTTATTAACAGAAATTATATTTGATAAGTTTTAATTTTTTATTTAATTTTTATAATTTAAAAAATAAAAATTATAATTGGAGCTTATTATTTTTAGTAAGGGTAAAATAACCTTTTTATTTTAAAATTTATTGACACTAAAGTTTTTAAAGAATTCATTAAAATTATAATATTTTAAAGGATTAGATAGTTATTTATATAATTCGAAGAGATTTTATTATTATTTTTTTAAAATAAAATGTGCACCATCGTTTATCTGTTTTCTTTTGACTATTTTTTTTTTAAGTTATCTTTTAGGGGAAAAGAAAAAAGTCATCGAAATGAATTATTCACGAAGAGAGTATATCCTATATGTTAACACAAAGGCCGAACCAGGATAAAAATTGAAGGGGGCCAAACTTAAATAAAATTTTTTACATCCTATTGGTATATTTTTTTTCAATGTTTTAATATTTAGAATAATATTTTATTCTAAATTTAAATAAAATTTTGGATACTTATGTTATATGAAAAATATCATAAGAATCATTTGAAATTATTTAATATTTTAATAAATTAAAAAAATATTTAAAGTTAAGTAAAATATGTTTTATATGTATGATATAAACTCTAAAAAACTATATACCTGACCTACTAAAACAAACATTAACCAATACTATTTAGAAAGCAAATAATAAAATTATATTTATTTAAATACTTCCTCAATTTTTTAATAATAATTTATTTAAGAAAAATGTTTTTAAACAATCTACTAAAAAAATAAAAAATTGTAACTATACATGTGTGTGCTATACAATGGCAGAGCGATAGTTACTTGAAGGGGCCATATGCCCGCCCACAAATGAAAAAATTACTTATATGAGAATAAGAATATAGGTATTTATATTTTATACCTTATTTTTTTAATATTTTGCACCCCTTCTTTTTTATATTTTGCATTTTAAACTCATTGCATATTACTTTTTAACTTAGACTCAAAAATAATTTTTTTAACTCAAAATCCCAATAAATTTAAGCCCATAATTTCAATATACCCAAATAGTAATATTATTTTATAAAAATTAACATTTATTAAACCTTTCAAAAAATAAGGGAAAAATAATAATCTAGCCCACGTTGTTCCAAATCTCAAATCAGATTTACAAAAAAATTAGTTAAATATAAAAGATATATTGTTTATCCATTAGTTTATCTTCTCTTAACATTAACATTAGTATTACTTGTTGTCACAGCAACAATTGAAAAAGTCTTCTCTATGATAAAGTTTATGAAAAATTGATTGCAAACTTGAATAAAAAATTCATAAATAAATTTTTGTCTCGCGACTTATATTAAAAAAAATGTATTTGAAAACATTGACAATGAGCTTATTATTCAACAATTTCAAAACATAAAATCATGTAAAAAAAATTTATAAGATATGTAATTATTAAATAATTTTTTAAATTATAAATATGTAAATAATTTTGTCTCTATTTTAGGATCCTGGCTCCGCCTTTGGTGGGGTGCACGCACACAATGAGAGGGAGGGTACGTTTTTTGGTTTCTTCATGTGGGGATGAAGATGCTACACCTTTATTTCTAGGAAAGTGGCAGTTGGCCCCCGTCAACAAAGACGTGGATCCGCCCCTGTGTAAACGTGTACACATATATTCAAATTTTATGTTCCCTTGATACAAAGTTTTCATCTGAAAATGTCTGAAGATATTTGCCGGTGTCTCTCTCTAACAAAAATCAACCACAAGACGAGAGAGAAGAGAAGTGCAAGTGAGAGCAACAACAAGCCAATGAAGATGAAACCAGAGAAACGCCTCATGGGAGGACAGTAGTTGTCACTGATTTCATCAAATGTTTCTGCAACAAACGCGCAATCTATCAAGTCAATCAGCTTTGGACCATTCTTATCCAATGTGTTGCTCACATTTACAGCCATCATTATCTGTTGGTACAGACTTGGAGTCAATCTTCCCATGTTCTTGCACCTTCCATCTGGGGATGTATTGCACACAAAACCTTGATATACCTGCTCATCATCAACCCTGAAGTTTTAATATCACTTGTTTTCGTGCCGATTTTTAAATATAAGTTAATAATAGAAAGAAGTCTTGCACTGGATAATTGTATCAAAAAAGAATATATGGAAATTATCATCCACAGATTCAATTCCTTGGTGCCCATTAAAATGTTGAAAGTCGTTTCAACATATTTGGTTAACATATTGCTTAAATCTAAGCATATTTGCAAAGTACAAAGTACATTTGTAAAAGTTAAAAGTAAAGATTTCTTCTTTCCACAAAGCGACTTTAATTTTTAACAAAACTTTTGTAACTAAAAGTCCCTTTAAAAATAAAAGGAAGTTGAAACTGCATGGCAAAAACAAGTTGAAACTGCTAGTCGAACAAAATATAAACAGCTCATCAAGCATGAATAAAAGGAAGAGCTCTGTACAGTGTGTGCGTGAGTGCGTGTATAAGCAGTTACCTGAGATGCATTATCTAAGGAGACTTCTTGAGGACCACATGGTCGTTGAGTCATGTCAGGATTGACTGGGTTACAGAGGAGAGGCAAAGGAGGACCGGATTGATTGTAGAAAGCCGAAGGCGGCGCGCCGGGAGGCGCATCAACGTTGGCCATGTTTTTGACAAAATCATTAACCAAAGTGACCATCTGGAAGGAGGTGTTTTTGGTTATGTCCAGTGCTTTCTGGGTTGTAGGTCCGTCCACGCAAGGAATAACCTCACTTAGAGATGTACGATCTTGAGGGTGTTCAAGCCAATCCTCCATTGCAACACACGTGTCTCCTACTCCACTACAGTGTCATAAACATAAAGGCTCAATAGTACAGGATACTAAATCCCACGTTGAAAAGTAAAAGTGCTCAATGGTATTTATGTTACGAGTCAGTTTTTCTATCTCAACAACTAGTTTTTGAGATAGAATTCTTCACCTCACTTAACCACTTCATGCATGAGAGTTTTTTAGTTTGACCCCTTGAAGTAGAAAATTATAGAGTTGAAGTGTAAAAATACTCAGAAATTTTTTTCAGTAGCCTCTGGTATCTTTGTCAATAATAGTACATGGGTACCTATTAACTTTATAAAAGAGATTAACATTTTTCAATTTGTTAAAATAGCCAAACGTTAAGTACCCATGGCCATGCACCATTGTAGACTTAATCATGCTAGAAGCTCCCAGAAAAAAAAGTTTTTGAGTCCCCTTAGCCTAAAATTATATAACAATGAATGGAGGAACTCACTTTTGCACAACAAATGATATAGAGCTCAGTATTAGAGTCCCTGTGACCAGAATCCACCCAATGAAGAACAAGCTGCAATATTGTAGCAAGTTAATTATTACACTCATCTCAGGCTAATATGTGCAAGAATATAGTATACTAACAAATAGAATACAAAATCAAAATGGAGCTGTGAGATAACTTACAAGTAGACAATGCCTTTCCAGCCACAAACTGAGAATACTGCAAAAACAATCAGAACCATATATAAAGTGATATAAGCCAAACAGAATCTGTATTGAATAACAGAAATAATCAAGTTCATTAGAGATGACGATGAAAGAGTTACTATATGTGTGTGTTTACTTACTGAAGCCAAGGAATGCCAAGAGGAGCATTACAGCGGTAACAACTACAAGAGTATAGCTTCTGCAGATAATAATAACAACTGTTTAGCCACTTCATATATGTAAAATCTTAATTCTGATACACACACACACACACGCTACAAAGAAGAAGAAGTACGAGGGTTCACTAACAGGGCACCCAGAAATTTATCTGCAAGTGTGATGACATCCTTTAGAATGATCCTGGGATTATCGCTTGAATTACTATGAACCAAGTCACGAAACTGTTCAATGCTGTTCTCAAATTCTCCTGGGAGAGAATATGCGCCTACAGCTAACTTCATAGCTCCATCAAGATTATTCAACACACTGTTCAAAAGATCAAGTACTTCAACTATTCTGCCCCCAACATCATCATCATCAATCTTCGTCTGAATCTCTCTGAAAGTTCGCTTGTCCAGTGTAAAGCAGAGCCCCTCCAACTCTGAAATCACCAACATCACACCACTAAACCCTAATTAAGTGTGTGAGTGTGTGTGTGTGTGTGAAGTTAAGAAGATGTTATGAAGGGATCTAGAGCGACCTACATAGCAACGAGCAAGAAGAGGACGATGTAGGTGAGAGACCCCCAATAAACTGTTCGAGAATAACTGCTTCTTGATTTGTTGTTGCGGCAGCAGCAACAGCAGCACAGAGCTATGATGAAGAAGACAATCACACCCGAAAACCAGATGGCTGCAACGTATAGTGGTGGAGCACCAGAATACAGCAGTGACTGTACAGAGAACCAAATAGCATGTACAAGGAATGAATGGTCATCTTTATCAAATATCAAATTCTTAACCTCAACAACAAACCCATCACTAGGTGGATCCCCCATAGATTACACAATGTCATCATGCTAAATTAACAATCAAATCTTTAAATATATTATAAATCAAGAGATCTCATTAAAAATTACATATTTTACTCTTTTTGTTGGTGTTTCTCACATCCTTTTTAAAAGAAAAAGTTATATCTTGTTTAAGATATGTTTATTTTAAAAACAAAAATATTAAAAAAATCATTTAGATAAGTGTTTTGAATTTAATTATTTTTAAAACTCTTCTTTTTAAAAAAAAATAAAAACATTTTAAACCTTTTCTTATTTTACTTTTCTTGTTTTTAAAACATATTATATTTTATCATTGAAATTTACAATTACCTTGATCAATCACTATCACTATCATAAACCACAGTCATTAATTACAAGCAATCATAACTATTGGCTAATTTTTCAATTCTAAAAATTTTTATAAATTAACATAATAAAAAATATTTCCTTTTTGTTTATTTTTAAAAACAAAAAATAAAAATAGAAGTCAAACATATCCTTAATCCTTTTTTCCCCTATGTTTTTGGCTCAATTCTCAATTCCTTAACTTTAACTCACTCTTTACAATTTGATTTAATTGTAACTTAATTTATGAAATTTAATTAAATATAATTTCATTTCTATATTTTTAATCATTTAAAATATTAGCCTCGAGCTTTAATATTTATAATTTTGTTTTTTAAAATATAAAGACAACATTTAAAATAGGCAAAATTTGAGGCATTAAGTTGTAAAAGTTAAAATTTAGAGACAAGATTTTAACTTAGCTAAAATTATAAGAATTGAGTTAGATCCAGTCAAAATTCGGGGCATACGTGGGTGAGTTTTGATCAAGGGGAAAAAAAATGATGAATGAATTGAAAAGGTGATACGTTGACAGACCGCATAATAATGTGAATCGATGATATTCCAGCCAGCCTCATAGTACTGGAAATTATTGGTAGGATCAATCCTGCGAGTTCTTTCCGCAGCAAGAATGAAGGTTGAATTATCATTCGCATCATCATACTGACTCCTTTCTCTTTTCCATGCTACGATGGTTTCATCCTCATCATCCCCTACAATACATGTACATACAATTAAACACGTTCAATCCAAATTAAATATAATTTGATTGACGTCAGAAAACATTAATCCAGTTTTCTGAGTTAAATGCATTATTCAACACCTTGAGCGCCATGAGAGGGAGAGAATAAGGTGGCTGAAAGAATGAGGAAAATGATTGAGAGTAGAACAAGAGGTTGAAGTTTGATGAGATTGAGACGCGTCGACATTGAGTTTCAAATTTTGATATATGCAGCTCCCAAAACGCAATTATAATAAAAGTGAAATTTGCGATTGGGATCGAATTGTAAATAATTTATTATGCCCACATATTGCAGGTAATCTTTTTCAGATGTTTATTTCCCAGGAGGGAAATGAAGAAGGAGGTAATGAAGGACATGAAGAAAAACAATAATTACCATCAGTGGAAAAAAGAAGAAGAAGAAAGAACCAGGAACCAACAGAGATGGAGACCCTTTTTACTATATTTGGATTCGGCAAATTTCAAATGCTAGGTTGGTTTCATCAAACACAGATCCTTGGTTGTTCTTCATTTTAAAACTTTTTGTTAATTAATTAGATATCTTGCATATTATCCGGAAAAAGTTGACTTATTAGTCAAAATAAAGAGAAAAGCATGTTCTGGAAACAAACCAAGAATAAGGTGTACTTCTTCTGTTTTTATTTATGAAAAAAACTATTACTTTTATTTTATTTTTTTATATAACTAAAATTATATTTTTTAAAAAACATTTATTATAAATTTCATAAATTATCCCTCATAATTTCATTATTCACATTCATAAGAAACAATTAATAAATATTTGATTAACACAATTAATGAAGATATGTTTGTTATTTTTTATTTTCAGACACAAATAATATAATTAACTAATTTTTTAAAACTATATGATACAATTTTTTCTCCTATAAGTAAAAATAGAGAGATTACATGTTTTATAAAAAAAGAAAATTATCACAACTTCTTGCCATTACTCTCATCACATTAATTAATAGCATTAATGAATATTAACTCAAATAAGCGTGGATAGTTTATGGTTGTGAGTTGTGACTCCCGTGGATTTGATTTCTAACTCTTATGAATGTAACAATTTAATATTTACTTGGTTTGAGCTTTTAACATCTCAAAAGTCTTTTTTATAGATTATTTGTCAAATGTTGTCTGGCTGGTATTATGATATTTTAAAAAAAAAAATCATTTGAATAGGCTATTATAGAGCAAAAAAAAAATACTTATAATTACTTTAATTAATGAGATGGACTTTCTCAATTACTTTTGATAGTATAGTTGGATTCAGTTATCAGTTCTTGTATATCTCATAATAGGTCGCCTAGTTCCTTTATCTTTAATAACTTCCAACATTGATGGAGAATATTATTTGTCTTTTTTTTTTAAAAAAAAAAAAAAGCCCATGCCTCTCCCTCTCTGGGGTTCCTCTCAAGGAGTGGCGGGAATTATGTCTCATATAATGCGATGTCTCCTGCTTGGCGGCAGCCCCCTCATTCCCCTTATTCTGTAGTTTTGGTTTAATTTATGCTTCATTTAATACAAAAAAGTAATTTTAATGGACGTGAAAATGAAAATAAAAATAAAAGTGAAAATAAAAATATGCTTGATATGTAGGTGAAAGTGACATAAAAATTTAATTTTATAAATATATTTTATTTTGTAAAGATCAAAATGTCCATAAATTTATTTTAGATAAAAAAGTCTCCATCATCTTCATCTTGTTGAACCTTCTCCCATCACCAATTTGAAAAGACCATGGAAGGAGAACACTTGTGAGAGAGAGAGAGGCTTCGTTTTGAGGGTTAGGTTTGAAGAGGAGATATGGGCTTTGGGGATTGTGGACGAAGGTTTGGTGGTGAAGGACGGGACTTTGAGCGTTGAATCAGAGTTCGAGAAAGTATCCATGGAGAGTGAGAAAGGACTTTGGGGTTTGGACTGTTGTGGAAGAAGAAATTCAGACATGAGTTTAACCATGAAGTCTGATGTGATAGCAACCATTTTTTGTGATTTTTTTTTCGGTTAACATGAAATTCAAGATGGAGGATATGAGGAGTGGAGCTGTCAATTAGGATTGACTTGATCTTAAAAAACCAACCCTTCAAGGACAATGGCCTAAACAGATTGGCTCTTTTAAGTCTGATTATATTTTAGGATTTTATTTTTAACAGTCCGATCCTAACCTTAGGGCTTCAGCCCCAATTATTTTTTTAATTTTTTAATTTAAAAATTTTAAAAATATATTTAAAATCCTAACAAAGTCATTACATATCATATTAAGTCTATAAAAATAAAATAAAATCAATTTACACAACAAAAATTTTAAGTTTGATAAAAAATAACATTCCAAAATTAACTTCGATATCAATTATACATTGGTGATATCATCAGCTAAATTTTAATTATTTTCATCATCATCAACATCAATATGATTTGATCCTCATCAATGGCATATGTTAAGCTTTTCATATCTTCCTTCTTCATCCTCATTATTTACAACAAATAATAAACCAAAATCATAATTTTAAGGTATTTAAAGAATGTAAAAACATTTAAAGTAAGCAAATAATAATATGTGTGTCTACTATCTAGATTAGAGAGTGCATATTAAGCTTGAGTAATGCGGTATCTTTTTGTTTTTTATATTTTTTTAAATATATTAGGACTTAAAAGAGCCAGCGCTAACCTTAAAAGGTCGGCCTTTTTATTTTCAAACTTAAAAGGATTAGATTTATCATTTCAAAGACTAAAGTAACGGCTTAACTTTCAATTTTTTCAAGCTTAAAAAGGTTGAGCTCGTAATTGACGGCTCTAATGAGGAGTCTCATTCGCCACAAGCCATTTTTGAAATAAATCTGATTTAAAATATAAATACTTTTTACCCATAGTTATTGAGCGTTGCACCCATAAAATGATGAGGTGACTAATCTAGTTTTTACACCGTCTCAAAGTCAGAGATAATGTCGGTCAAGCAAAAGGAAGGAAGATTGATGGTTGAGGCTCGCCGATGTGTTGAAGGAACGAAGGGACAAACATGTTTGAAATTTCTTAAACAGTGGCACAACAGTCATTTTACTCTCAATTCCATGAGAGTTTAGCCAGTTTCATGGTCCTCCCAATGAAACTCGATTCCATTGTTTTTCATGGAACTCACTTCCACAAGGATGTCTATTCCATGCTATCAAATATGCTAAAATTTTTGTTTTATTTCCACTTTTACTTCTTTCCTTCTAATTTTAATTGTACCAAACAAGCCATTAAGATTTTGTGGGCTTTGTTCCTTAAATTCGTACCAAGCGCCAAAATTGCTTGATTGTTACTTATCTTCTTTTTTTTTTTTTTTTAATTCCCAATAGGTATACCTCTCCTTTGTTTTTTTCCCCTCTCTCAAAAAGCCTAAATGAATGATTTGAACCAAAGGTCAGCCCAAGTCTCAAAGGCAGTGTTTGAGAATTTGTTTTGGAATGTATTGGAATGATGTGGACAGTTAAAAATTATTTGAGAAACTTTTTAAAGAGAAAGTGGAATGATTTGAAATGAGCTTTCAAGTTATCCTTAATCATTTTAAATTTATTTTTTTAACCCCTAATTTGAGAGTTGAGGACATAATGACCAATATAAGTAGTATTTTTGTAAGATTATCTTCATTCTTCTCACCTCTTCTCCCTCTTTTATTTCTCTTCACTCTAAAATTAAAAAACATAATTATATATAATTCAAATATGTTAATTCTATAATAATTATTAAATAATGATTAAACAAATGGTTCATTCATCTGATAAAACTCCTAAAGAATGGAATGGGCATTCCATTCTATTCCATCTCATTTCATCCTGTTTTATATTTCATTGCACTCCATCTCATTTCATCTTGTTTTATTTCATTAATAATCTCTCCTTTCAGTTTCACTGTATACTTTCAAACATACCATAAAGTTCTTATTACACCAATATAAAAATAAAGAAAATACCTAAGATATATTGCAAAATCTGGAAAAAGGAAGTCAGGAGCATATGATCTTGCATTAGCAGCTTTTCCTCGTATGTTGCAATGCTCGCAATGATCACAAGTTCACAACTCATGGGCACCTAAACAGCCGGTTTTATCGTCAAACCCTTACATAGGACCCGCATGTTTATTTTAAAATATAAAATCTCTAAGGACTCACATAAATAAGTCATTCAATTCCTATAGGAGAAAAACAATTATCAGTTTATATAATTTTATCAAATTTTGTTTTAATTTTTATAATTTTTTAAATATTTTTAATTCCTATCATTTTAAAAATACTGGGTGACATTTGTAAAGGGCGTCCTATATTAGGACTTAATCATCATACTAACCATGATTAATCAAGGACTAACCCAAATGGATTATCCAATACGAGATTAACCCAAATAAATTCTTAATATGTATTTTTTTTTTCAAACTATTTAATATAAAGGGATCCCAAGTCTTTAAAATATTTTAAGAACTCATATCATTTAATTAAATCTATACGGAAGCATGATAATAACTATTTTTACTTGCACAAATATTTTGACCCGTAATTATAACACAAGCATCAAACCACATTCCCCAGGGCCCAAAATACATTTCCCCTAACACAAACCCATAATGCAAGTGGATCAAGAATATATTATTCTAGTTGGCAATATCATAACTAAATACACATATCAAATAAAAGGAGAGAGGCCTACAGAAGTGATTATTATCACTTGGCCTAATGCTCCTTTCCTCTGTTCTTCTCAAATGAACTAGCTTCTGTAATATGTTAAAAGAGAGGGGTGAGTACAACCACTCAGTAATCAGGGTATATCTAAATTATACAAATGCATGATAATTAATCATGAATACAAGTGACCAATAAATTTATCAAAGTGACCATTCAAACAATCACATTAATAACATGTTAATCACATTAACATTTAACTTATGTGAATAATTTTAAAAATAAAGTCAAGTATAAAATTTGTACAAATAGCCACATATACGTTATTCACATAATTACTGCATGTTCTCATTTCTACAATTATAATCATATTCTCAACATAGCCATCAATCACTCAAATGGCATGATAGTAATAATATACATGATCGATCTTTTCCTTATATCCTCCTTTATTTCCTCTGACATGAAATCTGTGGGCCAACAACCGAAAGGGATCGTCCATGTGGTGAGACTACCCAAGGCCTTAATCATATCATGAGGGGCTACCGGGCCAGGGTTACCTTACTTACTTATGAACACAGTTTCCCCCAAATCACACACTATGGGGTGTCATACCCAAAACTAGCTTTACCCAAAACTCCAGGTAGGTCAGTAGGGTCAAGTCCCTTAATAGGAACAATGCTACAGTACCTTACAAGGTAAGTAGCGGCTATAACCCCTAGGATTATTGGTTAATAGCCAAGTACCATATGGATTTTGCATAACCGCTAATTCCTTCATTAAAGCAAACTCCCGCCATATGATCATGCTCATGAGAAAATGCATTTCAAAAACTCATATATATAATTTAAAATTATTCCACATGCTCATCAACTTTCATCACTGTGCATAATCCACAACTTATAACTAAGAGTGTATACATAATCATCAACCATCAATCTCATTACTAACAAGTCATAAAGTCACAACAAAGTCACATGCATTACAAACAACCATTTTAAAATTTAGACATATATATATATATATATATATTCTTTTATTTCACCAACATAATTAATTAAGTAACATACAAATGTATAAAATAGATTTCCCCCGGTTACCTCAACCTTTAAGAGGTCAAAGGTTACCCCTCAAGTTATAACAATTTCAAAGCTTTTCAAAGTTTGAATGGTGTCAAAAGAAATTAATCTACAATTGATCATATCCAATGTGTCAATAATATTATTAACACAATTTTCACTCATACTCTAATACCTAAGTATTTATTTTATTTTATTTTATATTTATTTTATTTATATATATATATTTTAAGAATTTAGTCTTAGTCTCTTGAATTCTAAAATTTAATTTCATATATTTGAACCTATCTACTTGGTTCAATAGTCTCCTTCACAATAATTTCATCCAAATAATTTTCTAATATCAAAATTTCTCTTTTTATTTCAAAAATTCGCACATAAAAATACTCAAAAATTACAAACTTTATTTCAAGCCTAGAATCATTATTCTATAGCCATAATAATTTATTTCTCATCTCAAATAATCATCTAAATATCAACAAATTAATTTATATTTTCAGATTTAACCAAAAATCTACTCATAGGGATATAGGGATAAACTCAAATGCCTCAAATTCTAAAATAATACTCTAGAATATTTATTACACTACCAACAACCTCAACAATCAGATTTTCTCACCAAAAATTTATCCCTCTTTCAAACTCTAAATTTTTCAAAATTTCAAAATCTACAGCTCAAAGGGAAAAACGACTAAGAAAAAATGTTTAGAACACTTACCTAGTCATAGAATACTTAAAATCTCATCAAAATATCTTACTATAGAGCTTCACTTTCTAAATCAACTCCTCTAGCCGCAGCGTCGCTCGCTCTCTCGCTCGCTCTCTGATTTCGCTCTCTCTGTTGTGCGAGAAGGAATGAAGAAAGAATGAAGGAAATGAAGAAAAGAATCAGATGTGTTACTTTTCAAAAGAAAACTGTGAGACCCGTACGTCTTTACTCCTCACCTTTTCTTTTGTCTTTTATTAATCCATCATGCACGTCGAATTGTCTGCCACATCTCTTCATTTCATGTTTTTTTTTTGCATTATTTACACCTCAACACCCAAAGCAAAAATTACTTCTCTTCCCCCTCTTCAATTTTCAATTTATTTTACGTTCCTTTTCCTTCTTCTTTCTTTCCTTTTTTTTATAATATTATCATTACTATTTCTATTTTCTTAAAAATCATAATTTAGAATTTGAATTTATGCTAAATTAAATTCAATAATAATCTCCTTACTAAAATTATTTATCTCTAAATATTTCTCTAAAATTACTCACTTACCTTGATTAACTTAATTAATCTTGCATTAAATTTTGGGATGTTACAACATTTGTTTTATAAGTCTCTATAATTTTAATATTTTTAATTTATATAAGAATTGAAAACACTGAAAAATTTATAAGAATTAAGAGCAAAACTTGATAAAATTATTAGAATTAAAAATTATATTTTTTCATTATTATATATATTACTCCACTGTAATTCAAATTGTATGACATTTTTTCCAACTACGATTGATTATAATAGCATGACATTTAGTACTTTTTGAAACTATTTTTAAAATTTATCCTTATATTAATTAATGTGAGCATGTGAAATATAATTTGATTAAATACTTCTTCTCACTTTTCATGCAAAAAGAGAAAAACATGTCATTTTTTCATCTACATAAGAAAATAACCATTTTTTTGGGTAAAAAGAAAATAACCACTTTTATTGATATGTGAAATATAGTTGAAAGTATCTTATAGTTTGAGTTAAAACAAATATTTTTTTTTTGGTATAAGGGAATAGTTTTTTTTTAATTGTGCACAAATGACTTCTTACTAAAGATAATTATATTCAAAACACAGTCAGATATTAAATATAAGTATTTCTTTAAGTGTAGGTTTAAATATTAATTTGTTAGGTTGTGAATGATTAATCCTTCTACCCAATACCCATTTATTCTACCTTTCTCTGTACACTTCTTTGTGTTCTTCAACACTGTCTTTACTTCAATATTTTTTCAAATATTCCAACGAGAGTTTATATGTTAAAAATTAATTACAAATTTTGAAAAGCTTAATTTTTTTTTTGGGAAATAAAATGAAAAGGTCAGCCTCAATAGATACCAACAAGGTCCAAAGAAAGTAAGTATCTATAATCATAAAGAGGCTCCATCAAAACTATAACTTCATGTCAATATTTTGAATAAAAGTGAGTAATGAAGTCAGCACATACATTTATTTTTCCATGCACATGCTGATAAGTAACCTCCCAATCCATTTTGAAAAGCCTTCACACACACACAATTTTTTTTTTTTTTTCCAATTTTCAATCAATCAAGGGCAATTACGTGAGTACAACATCTTGCCAGAAAAGAGAAAAGTTAAGTACACGACAATCAACTGAAAATCTCAACAACTCAATCGTGGAGATTTAAAATTCACAGATCAAAACGCGCTTCTCTTTCAGAAGCCACAGCACAGGTACATTACCAAGAGTTAGAGAGAGCGAGAGAGAGAACACAAATTTCAGTTAATTTGAAATGAATCAATCATTCATCAGTAGCATCCACCTGAAATATGCGACTGCAAGTATAAACAGAGCAGAAGGCTTGCAAGGTCATCAAGAGCAAGAGCAAGATGGCAGCCAGGAATGTCAAGCACTGCCATGAACTGAACACATAAAGCTTCATTAATTTCCAAGCTTTCACCTTTATTCTTCCATTATAGTACTTGTTCACATCTTCAATGGCCTCGTCCAAGAATGTCACCTTAGTCAATCTTAGAGACCTGTTCATCCCGTTCCACATGTTAGCCACTTCTTCATCACTCTTCAAATGGTTCTGAACAATCCCTTTTTCTCTCAGTATCTTCACATCCTCCTCAGAATCTATAATCCCATTCATCAGTTCAGTGTATCTTGTCAAAACCAACTGGCCTGAAGCTGCTGATACTTCATATGCAACTAAATTTCTCAACAAAACTTCAGTATTGACGTCTAGATTAATGGTGGGAAGGTGAAATGTGCGTGTTTTTGTGTCAAAAGCAATGCTTGATATGCCTTTATTTGTGGGTAAGAAACGAACCCCTGAATCAAAGAGTTCTGAAACTGATGGAATAGCAATTTCCTCTACCAATGGTGGTCTATTAATAAGACTATTGGAGCTTGAATCCCCATTTTCTGGTTTTTCTTCTTCTTCTTCTTCTTTATCTAGCAAGGAAAAGAAGAAGGATTCTACAGGCACTTTAAGAATTTTAAGTCCAGGAAGGTTGGAGATGATTGTCCAAGGCAACTTAATGATGAATCTCACAGGTCTAGATAGTAGTACCTTCTTAATCAGACGTACTGGCCCTTTGTTTATTTTTGAAAGCAACTTCCAGAGCTCACTTAGGAATCTCTTAACATAGTTTGGATTTGAGGTTGATTTTTCATTCTCTTCTTGCTCTTCTTCAAGTTGATGAGCCTCGTCAACTTCAACTATATCAGATTGTTGTTCCAATTTGGGCACAATCATGTCATAAAAGAAATCCAGCAAGTGAGCACATTCTGAGACTTGGACGTTCGGATGATCATCCATCAGTTGGAAAGGAGAAAGCTCTTTGAACAATCCTATAACCATTAAAAACAGTAAGTCATCTGCATCTTCTAAAGATGTGAACTTGAACTCCAACATCTCTCTCAAAACAAACAAGGGAAGTTGATTCTCAAGCATTACTATGTCCCTCAAAATTGCATTATGAGCCGATTTCTTCCCTGCATAATCTACCAAATGAGACATAAACCTTGAGGAAACCCCAGGTACTTTTGATCCTTCTTCGATGGCATAAACCTGAAGGAACTCGAGCAAGAATGAGGCATCAACTGCCATCATCCACGCCAATGTTTCGCCATTGAAATCTAAGAACTTGTGGTAGCAAGCACGAATCCTCTGCTCCAACTTTGTCAGTTGTTGTACGAACTTTTCTAACCTCAGGTTTTGTAGTTGTTTCTGGAACCTTTTTGCAGCAGCAAGCTTGTACCTTTCCATTTCATAAAGTTCTGGACGCCAGTAATGATAAGGGCCAATTGCAACTTGCTGAGGGACGTAGGAATCTGGATCACTAACCATGAGGAGCTTGGGAACATTGAAGATGGATACAGGTAGCTCGCCATCATCCTCAAGTTCTTCTTCAAGGGTTCTACGGATTTGAATGACCCATCTAAGCTCATCAGAGTTGGATTTAGAGTCATGTGAAATTGTGTATCTTAGAGAAGACATGTTATATGAGTTTACTGTAGGATGAACTTATTGCAGGAAATAGAAGTTTTGATGATATATTTAATGAAGAGGGAGTTAAGAAGATGGAAGCTTTAATTGGGGCATAGGGCCAGTGAGAGCGTTAGTAGAGCTTTAAAAAAACATGAAAGTAATTTATCACCAGAAAGGTTTAGTAATAACATTCTCTGAAGTTATCTTAAAGTGAAAATTTGTAAAGTTTCACATGGTTATGGCATACGTTAAACGTTCTTTTTGTGTGATATATAATATAAAATGGACTTTACAGTCTGTTACATTAGAAATACTAACAGAAGAATGATTAGTAGCAATATTTTTTTTCATTGGCTAAACCCAAACCTACCCTGCAATAAGAGCAAAGAAAAAGTTCAGCTTGGTTTCTTTGAATTATTCTTTCGTTTCCTTCAAGTGGCCCGACTGGCATATATTAAAAATTAACGTAACTTTGCTAATTGAAGATCACTCTCTACTGCCTCCACTGTGACATGATTACATCTTTTTGGTATGTTTGATGAAACAGTCTCCATCTGAGTCATATCAGTCATGAAAATAAATTGAAACAAAAATTATGGAGTGCCTATTAAAACCTTATGCAATAATCTTTATACTGATGATCCAGCCATACGTGTGGTAGATCACTACTCAACCTACTTTCAAGAGTAAGAAAGGTTGCAGACCATATCCTTGCAGCAGATTAAAAGGATAAAATTTTATTTTATTTTATTTTTAAAATTTTAGATGATAGTAACTATGATGTGAATGTGATGTGGGATGTGACCATGTATTGGTGACTTTGTTGCTGGTATGTGCTATTAGTTGATTAGGTACAAACCCAAAGGGGGACTCTAATTTGGCAATAGATTTGCTGGTATGTGCTATTAATAAAAATACTTTGGTTTTTAATGAAAACTAGATTTTACTTGCCTGAGCGATACAAGGAAGATTAAAAACTAACTATAGTTTATCAATGAAGAGAAAGAAATACTGCCATGCATGATCTAAACGAAACATGAAGATATGTTCGACAAGAAAACAAAAAAGTTCAAAAATATTTTGTCAGATGTACGAGGAAAAAAGAAAAAGAAATGCTTCCATTGTTATGCCTAAATAAATCATGAAAATATATTTTATAAAAATAAAGCAAAATAGTTCGTAGAAACTTTCTTAGATGTAAAGAAAAAGAATGAACTAAAAAATATCTAATTTCTGGATGGTGAAAAAGTAAAAATTCCTAATGCTTTGCGCGCGCACGAAACACATTCTCATTCTGTCCATCAATGTAATGCTTTTAAAGTTATCTATTACCCAATTGAAATCTCTGCTACATAGCCTCTAAGATAAATTCTCTTGAGATAAGACAGACAATTCATATTTAGATGAGAGAGATCTCCCTTAAACACTTCATGTAAATTTTAAAGAGGTCTTATTAAAAGCCACATCTAAACTATTTATAACTTCTAGATTCAAAAATTCACTTCTTTAAGATTCTCAACTCCCTGTATGTCATTCCCTATGAGCATTTTGTTTATTAAGATTTAAGAAAAGCAAAATGAAGTTGCTAAGAAAATCATTCAAACTTGGTAGGCAAAAATTACTTGACCAAAATGAAATAAAAAAGAGATTATTGCATTAACATTGCCCATGTATTTGATCATTTAAAAAAGTATGAAAACAATTATATATTGTGATCATGTAAAGATGCCAAAAATGTTTTTCGTTCCATAAACACAATTTAGAAGAGGGAAGGAGCTCTCATGCACTCCAGGATGGAGCCGGCACTGCTCATAGAGCTGGCAATGTTCATATCAATAGTGAAATCTGACAGGAGCCAAAATGAAGCCACTACTCTTCATGGCTAAGGGGGAATAGACTTTAAAGATATATTGATGATTGCCATGTTCTATGAAATCCGCTTAAAAAAAGAAAAGAAAGAAACTTCTTAACAATCTGGATAGCCATTATGGCAAAGGAAGTGGCTCCTCAAAAATAAGTTTGATTGTGGCTAAAGCGGAAGCCAAAAGCGGAAGCCACAATCAAACAAACATAATGAAATAATTCTCAAGTCTCTGATGCATGTCCAGGAAAATGTTGAAACCATACTCAAAGACCAATAAGTACAGAAATTGGTTGAATTTAGTCAACTCGACTAAACAAATTTATATATAGCATAGTTTCTACAGCTTGACCACAGAATGAACAAGAACATCATGACAATAGAAGCCTCACAAGTGGAAACCTCAGTAGTGGTAGTGGCAAGCCACTATGTACAGAGATTTATGGTCAAAGTCAAGCACAGGCACCTGAAGCTCACATAATTCTTCAACTGAGTCTCCACTGCATTTCAGTACTAACTTTGGAGGAAATAAATAGCAGGCTGATTATCTCAGCGGATCAGGCTTTTTTCTGTACATATGCCTTGTAGAGATTGAAAATCAACCAATCACATTCAGGCATGTCAGGAACCAGCATCAGCAAAGCAAATTAGGAGCGTCGAGTTATGAATCCACCCAATATAGGGTCAACAGTCAATGGAGAACAAACTTGTTACTGATTTGCTGATTTTTTTTCTTCCATGGGTTTGCGAACATTTCTCACCTTCCTTTGAAGTCATCTTCCATCTATGATATGTATTTTCAAATTCTAGCATGTTAGGATCTTGCGTCTCCTTAAGCTTGCTTGCTTTTTCCCCATGATACCACTTGAGAAAAAGAGAGACTTGTGCCTGTCTATCTATACAACCATTGCACATGCAAATAATTGGATTAAAAATCACAACTATCCGCCAGGGGATTCTCCTGTCACCTCCAGTGTTGTCCCCAATTCTTTCCTTGGCCTAGATGAAAGTCCTTTTGTCAACATCTCTTCATCATATTTCCTAGCCAAGTCTAATAATCCCTTTTCCACAAGAGCATCTATCAAAGCATTGTAAGCAGATGCATCTGGACTGGATCCAAGTTCTTCCATTTTCTCCCACACTAAAAAAACTGGTCGAAGAAATCCCCACCTCCCAAACTTCCTCATAAGCATCACATAGGTGTCCATACTTGGCCGAACTCCACTTCCAATCATTTTATGAAACAATGTGAGTATATCCCTAGGCTTTTCCATGCAAGCGAAAAATAAATGATATGAAATTGCATTTGGCTGACATCCATTCTTACGCATGGTATCAAGCATCTCAAGTGCTTGCTTATATCTGAAGTTATCACATAAAAGCTTAATGATGGTGTTATAGGTTACAAGAGAAGGCTCAAACCCTAAATCTTTCATTTCACGAAAGAGCCTAATTGAAAAATCAACCCCCTGTGAAAGACCTATGGCACGAATAGCAATATTATAGACAACCACATCCAATTTCATCCGTTTACTCTTCATCTGCTTGAATAATTTCACAGCCTTCCAAGGCTTTCCACTTTTGCACATTATATCCATATATGTTGCATATGAATGTACATCTTTTTGAACTCCCTTTCTATCCATCTCTTCCCAAAACTCCCTACACTTGCTCCACCATCCCAATTTAAACCACCCACGAAGAACAATGTTATAGTATTTTACTTTGACATCCACATTTCCACTCTTGTTCTTTCCAAAAATCAACTCTTGGGCTTCATCCACATGTTTGTACTCACACAGTGCATCAATAAGATTGCTGTACGACGTTTCATCCTTTAAATTAAATTGGTGAAGCTTTTCATACGTCTCTATCGCTTCATTAACTAGACGGGCCGAAACATAACGTTTAAACATGATTCGGAATGTCGTATGGTCGGGAAAAGAACTTGGACTTTGCCGCATCCGTTGAATCAAATCCCATGAAAGTTGAAACTCGAAGAACTTACCAAGTATGTCGATCATGTGATTATATGTATCGGTGGGGAGCTGCAAATGTATTCTCTTTCGACCCAATTGAAAAAGTCGAATGCGCGTTTCCAGTCATTGCGGAAGGTCAAAAGAGTTTCACGAACTGTGGCGGGATCAATGTTGCAGGAATTTGGTTCAACTGTTTGGACTTGGTGGGGAAATTGTTTGGAGGAATAGAAAAGGGTTTGGATGAAGCAAACGGGAGGGGTGAATCGAAGGCGACACGAGCTAAGCAAGGCCATTGAAGGCCTCCAAACTGCTAAAACCCCTTACGAGGGTTTGAGTCGTATGACGGCGCGGTTCCGACCCGGTCGGTAGAATCAGAACAATAATGCATGGCACGCGCAAGCGGAACAAAGTCCAAGATCCAGACCCAGTGACGCATTATAACCCGACCCGGTCAGTATTTCCGAAATAGAATCCGCCAGCTGCAGGGAGGAGGACAGAGTCTCATGCTTGGTTGAAAATGGAGTGAATCCTAAAAGACAAAATTTTTAAAAATAAAAAAATATTTACCCATTCCATATTGAATTATAAGATAATGTAAGATAAGAGTATACATATAACAAATTCAATAATAAGACTTTACAAACTTTTTTTAAAAAATATAAACTTCTAAAACTATTCTTTATTTAATTTAATTTTAAATCTATATACTTAATTTTACGTTGTAATTATTTTAATTCTTTCTTCACCTAAAAGATAATATTAAAAACGTATTACTAATGAAATATTATTTTTCTTAGATTATTTTATATTTTGAAATAATAAAATACCTCTAACATTGTATTAGAAGAGCATTATCAATAAAATATTATTTTTGTTAAATTATTTTATATTTTAAAATAATAAAATACTTTTAAAAGTTATTTTATAATTTAAAACAAAAAGAGTATTTTTCAAAGTTTTTTTTCTAATCTGTTTCCTAACCAAAGAAACATGAATTTGCTCAGGGTGTGTTACGTTTTCTTTTTCAGCAGAAAATCCGAATCAAATAAGATTGGTCAAACTTATTTGGAAAATTAGAAAAGGAATAAATGAGTAGAAGCCAGAAAATCCATAGCAGTTTCTTGAAACATGCAAACGAGTTATAAGAATATGTAAGTGGTCTTCAAGGCTCTCACTCTTTTTGTCCCTTCTGTTCTGCCAAATAATTTTCCTCTTAATCATTTGGCCTGTGTAATTAATTGAGTCGATTGTAATTTAATATTTAAATTTTAACTCAATCTAATTCAATTTTTATATTTTAACTCTGTTAAAATTTAATCCTTAAACTTTAATCTAATATAATTTAGTTCCTATAATTTTAGTAGTTATTTAAAATATTAATCCTTAAGTTTTTAAAAATCACTTTAGTTCTTATAATTTTATTTTTAAATTATATATATATATATATATATATGAACTAACATTTTAAATAATTAACGTCATGAAGACTGAACTATAATTAAGTCAAAATTTAAAGATTATATTATAACTAAGTCAATTAAAAGATGGGTTGCTTCAAGTTAAAATATAAAAATTGAATTAAAAGAAGTCAAAACTATATGATTAATCAATGTATCGTATATATCAAAATTACTCAAGCCACATTACGAAAGTGGCTCAACATGGCTCCACTTTCATTTTACTATTCACAGTATCGGCTTGTGCATGGGCTTCGTGCTATATGTATGTATGTATGTATGTATTTTGTCAGCTACTAAAACAGTATGAGTCTCTTAGCTTCACGTTGTAACCGAGTTCTTATGGCTTTTCCTCCTTCAGTTATGAAGAGAAGTGAGAATGTTCTTACATGTACACATGGCGTCGAAATATTGAAGCCAACTTGAAGATTTCAGTTATGAAGAGAATGTTATATAAATTTCAGAATTATTCATGGCCAACTCAATCATCTTTTAATTAACCAGCATCTAGATGCCACATTTTAGAAGATGCTGATGTTTCTAAAATGTTCTCCAGTGATGCTGATCATTTGCAAACGTCTTCTAAATGTGGATGGTCAAATATGATTTTCCTTAGGAATGATGTGACTTTTTGTCTTTTAAATTTGTCTCAATTTAAATTTAATTTTTATCAAGTTCATCTTTTAAATTTACTTCATTTAATTTATTGATTTGGTTTGTAATTATTATTTAAAAACGAGATTATATTATTAAAATTTACTAACATGAATAATAAAATATTGATGACAATCATGTAAATTAATAAAAAAATATAATTATTTATATAGGAAAAAATAGACTTTGAAATTTTTAAAAATAAGATAATAAAACATGGTGTAGGTGATTATATTGATAAAAATTAAATTAATTTGATGGTTAATTTATTCTTATTTTGCTATATCCACATGACAAGTCTTTAATGTATCTTAAATGTTAAATTATTTTAAGAATCAATTTGCATTTCAAAATTGAAAGGACTCATATGATAATTTAATAAAATGTAAACTATTAAATTGATAAAAATTAAATTTAAGGAACTAAATTAATAACTAAAGTAAATTTAAGAGACTAAAAGTTTCATTAATCATTATATTATTGAGCTGCTAATTAAATGAAAAATAATATACATTTGTTTTATTTTGTTTCAGAGATATACACTGTTGAGTTTCAAAAAGAAAAAAAAAAAAAAAACTTTTGCATTCTCATGCATCCATTCAACAGTCCAATATCATTATATTATTAGGAAGTCTTGACCAATCAATTGATGAAATCTAGCGATATTTTAATTTCAACTGCATTTTTGCATGTGAAATAGCATGACATATATCCGTCTGTCTTATATATAAGGTATTTTTAATTAAATTTTATATACTAATAAAAATTTATTATTTAGTTGAACTTATATAAAAACACAATGATTTTTCAGTTTTACCCCTAATAATATCATAATTAATATCATAATAGTGGTAGAAAAAACATACAATTAATTATCTATTTCATTTTTTAAAATAAGGGTAAAATTATTTAATTATTCAAAAAATTTATTGCCACCCCTTTATATTTAGAGATAAAATAAGCTTTTAGAAAAAAACTTTATATATAGGGATAGAGGGAGTATTTGCATTTGATATACATTATATGTGTCCTTCTATTGAAAGACTTATTTTTCATCTTTCTAACCAGAAGTATGTTATTTATCATAATATTGATGATGTTGTTGATCATTCCGAATGCGAAGAGTTTGTCAATCCATGTTTCTTGTGTGGATGAAGATAAATGATGATGATAAGTTTGCAAAAACACTTACTCCCTCGATTAAAAATGTAAGACATTTTTAATCGAATCTTATCTTCTAATAAAATAATTATTTATTTTTAAACTAATGCTATTTTTTTTTATATTTTTCCCTATTTATGCCTTAAAAAAAATATAAAGTGATATATTCAATATAAACACTTTTAGAAAAGAGGTAATAATTATATTTTAAAAATTAAAAATGTCTTATATATATATATATATATATATTTTTAATATTTAATTTTTAAAAAATACCTTATATTTTCGAACGAAAAGAGTACATATTGAGTTTCTGAATTATTATATTTACCAGCAAAGTAACCAAAGCTGGAAATGGAGGAAAAAGGGACTGGCAGTGGGTAGAATTACTCATGTTTTGTTACCTTCGTATCCTTCTTACGTAGATGAAAGGGCCTACCTCATGTGAGCATATTAAAACAACCAAACTTTTGGTGGTATTATCTATCCCACATTTAGGGTCTCCTGCTTTGCTGTGGGGTTGCTAAATGACAATGTGGAATACATTTGTGCTATAAAGTAGTAGCAGTCTATGCATATGGGAATTTCTTACTAAAGTTGTTTATAAGCATGCTATTGTGTTCTTGCCTTAATTGTCTCAAGTTTATTTGGAAGGAGACTTTAAAAATACTTTCAAAAGATTTGTTGTATGTACCATTAGTTGATCTATTATTTTCAAGTAAGTTCCCATAAGTAGCTTTGTCTATAAAATATGTTATTCAATTATATCTCAAGGCCATAAGGAGCAAGCTGCCCTGAACAAAATCCGGGTTATTATTGAGAAAGAATGAGTCTATTTAACTTTCCTTCAGTACTACCTTTCCCTTCAACAAGTCCCACAACTAATGTTACATGCCACCTCATTTTACAAGAACTAATTTATGACCATGTTGCATTGCTGGAAAAGTCAAGTAATTTAATTAATTCTTTAAATTCAGGACAAAAACACATTTTTGATACTGTGATGTCTTCTTCAACTTTAGCAAATCGTGGTTTTTACTTTGTACATAGCTATGGAAGGATTGGGAAAACATATATATGGAATATGTTGAAATCAACACTTCAAGCATGAGGAGTACTGTTCTTAGCATTGCATCAAGTAGCATCAAAATAACAATATTGCCTTTAGTTAGGATATATAGCGGATTCAAGGTTTGCAATCTATATCCAGATTATTGAAAAATCTGTATGGTATTGAGCAAAATTCTCAATTAAGAAATCCCATTCAGCATAAAATTAATCATACAAGATGAAACACTGATGATGCAACACTATTCCATTAAGGTATTCGATCATATGTTGAAGGATATATTTTGCATTCTAATCAAGTTTTAGGTAATAAATGCATTCTACTGAGAGGTGATTTTTGACAAATCCTTCCAATAATTCATAAAGGTACAAGGACTACTATTGTTAATGTTTGCATTAGTTATTTATATATTTGGAATCACTGTACAATTTTTAATTTGACAAAAAATATAAGTTGTCATCATCTTCATCAAAGTGTGATCGTGACAAATTAGGAAAAAAAAATTAAGATGGCTTTTTGATGTAGGTGATGGTAAGTTAGGATGGCCACATGATGGAATACCATATATTGAGATCTCCTTGTACTGTTGATACTTAATTATGGAGATTCAATTAGTGCAATTGTGTCCTCAACTGCCCAAATCTTATGTATAATCTATCAAATATAAAATTACTTTATTGATAGTGCAATTCTCGCACCAACAGTCAAAAGTGTTAATCAATTAAATGATTATATATGTGTGCTATGTTGCCTAATGAATTAATTGAATATTTGGGCCATGATACTGGTCGCAAATCAACACTAAATAATGATTTCTTTAATAATTTATATGCAATTGAATTTTTGAATACGATTAATAACTATGGCTAACCTCTGCACAAACTTATTTTGAAGGTAGGAATACTAATCATGTTATTAAGAAATATTGATCAAGCTTTAAATCTTTGCAATAGAACAAGATTGCATGTAACTTAGTTTGGTAAAACTGTCATTATATTGAAGCCATAACAATGAATGAATCGAAGTGAAATAATAATGTACTAATATATTGAATAAACATGAATCTTTTTAAAAGTGAGTAACCTTTTCATGCGAAGAGAAGACAGTTTCTAATAATTATTTCATTTTGCGATGACCATTGAGAAAAGCCAATGACGATCATTACATCATGTGGGAATACACGCACACATATATCAAAGCCATTTTTTAAACATAAACAATTGCATGTTGCATTTTCAAAGGTGAGAAGGATCGTTAGTTTGAAATTGTTTTTTGCATGGCAATGATAATTATGGTTCAAAAGCTACTGGTATTGTTTATATTAATGTTGTTTATAAAGAGGTGTTCTATTATTTGCACACATGTTGATAATAATGCTATCAACATGCAAGGTTTTTGTTTTGTTTTTTTTTTTTGGGCCAGCAACGTGCAAGTTTATGAATTATACTGTTATTTTAAAATTGATGCAATGGATATTTATTTCTTTCATCTATTCATGATCCACTGTTGTGATCTTTTTTTTTTAATGTAGGCTTTGTTTATAGGGAAAATCATAACCAAGGATCCTTGGAAAAACATACTCACAATTGAAGACTAATAAATTCTCATTTAACATTGCAATCTCCTGCGTCCTAATTGTAATTAATTGTGATTGTGAAAATAAGTAATTGCCTTTAATCGTATTCTAGATAAAACACAAGGGAATTATTTCTTGTTAAAATGTTATTTGGCAAATGGTGACTTTCACGAGATTCATACACTTGATTAATATAAAAATTATTGTTTGTCAAAATATAATGGAGTGTTGTTATCTTACAAATAGTGACTTGTTTGCCACACGAAGAGAGTCGTTTTTGTCAATGAAAATGACTTTATTCTGGATTTGTCACCATGAGATTTTTTTTTTGGTTAAAATGAACAAAGTGTTGTTATTTTGCAAATAATGAGTTATTCGTCACATGAATACACTTGATTCTGTCAATGAAAAAGACTCTATTTTGAACTTGTTACTATGAAAATTTTTTTTTGGTTAAAATGAAATGGAGTGTTATGATTTTGTAAATAGTGACTTGTTCACCTTATGAGTACATTTAGTTCTATCAATAGAAATGGCTTTAAACACCAAGGCAATTACTTATTTTCATAATCACAATTAATTACAGTTAGGACCTCAAGAATTGTAATGGTAAATTAGAATTCATTGGTCCTCAACTGTGGGTATGTTTCTTTAGGAATCCTTGACTGTGATTTTGCTCTGTTTATAATGTAGGAAGGCTTTTTCATGATTTTTTTTATGTAGGCTTTTTATTGTTTTGGTTAATTTTTTTTAAATTAAATAATGTTTTGAAACTTGCTAGACGTTAAATTAAAAAGAGCAACAAGTTATGGTTTTCATGATTCAACCAATTAGACCGACAGTCGAATTGATAACATAAAAGTTAAAAAAAATAATATTTACGTACACAAATATATAAATAAATATTAATTTGTTGATGATGTTTGGGATTTCAATGGCAAAGGCTAGGTGCTTGGACTGTTGGACTTGGGGGCAAAGGCATGTTTGCACAAACTTGCAATCTCTAAGCCAAATGCTGGAGCTGGAGGCACATCGTTATGTTATGAATCACAAACTTTCAATCCTAATGTCAAAAGTTAGATTACTAGAGCTAGAGATAGAGGCTGAAGGAGACGTCAAAGATTAAGTATAGGCCGTGGAAGAGAGAGCAAAGATTAAAGAAAAGAATTAAATATTAGAGAAGAGAAATTGCAAATTTGAACAACTTAGCTTAATTTTTTTTTAGGATTTAAATCGGGTTAACCTGCTCTGATTTTCAAGTCAAATCCGATTCTATTAGAACTGGTGGAGTCAACCTAATTCAAATGCTAAATTGATCTAATTGATTGGATTAGGCCAGTTTGATCAATAAGTAATGGGCAAATTGTCCAGTCTAGTTCATGTTTCAAAATACTGAAATTGAATGTAATTTAATATAAGTGTAGTACTCCATCTGTTTTTGTTGACAAAGAAACTACTGCTTTTGACTTGTATTTTTTTAAGTAAAATTAACCATTTCAATAAGTATTTATTACATATTTTTTAAATTACCCTTCATAATTTATATTAATAAGAAATAATTATGTATGATTATGTTAAATAACACAAGTCATTTTAGTCTATTTTTGTTTTATTTTTAAATATAATTATTATAATTAATTATTTTTTAAATTGTATAATGTAATTTTTTTATATATATAAAAATGAAGGGAATATGTTTTAACCTGGCATTTCACGCGGTAGCTAGTAGCTATATATATTATATATATATATATATTCATATAAAATAAAATTGACCACGGGCACTTTATGCGTTTTTTAATTTTTTTAACCATCACAGGCGCTAGGTTAAAAGCATCAAAATTGTGGCATGAGTCCCCATAGATTACCCTTTAACTACATTTATCAATAAAATTAAAAATTTTATTATAAAAGATTGAATAATTACCCCTACTTATGTCTATAAAAAAATTAACAAATGTATTGACTCATGAAGCTTTTATTCACAATCATAATGTTCATATTTTTGACAATCCATCACTTAATTGCAGAAATTTTGTGTGCACTAACATGATACAATTTGTCGTGAAGCATGGTGTTTCCACGGCCATTTAGTCACCAAAAAAAAAAAAAAAAGCTTCAAAATTCAGCCTATATGCTCTCTCTCTCTCTCTCTCCCCCTCCCTCCCCCCTGTAGCCTCTGGCCAAAATTTCTTCCCGATCGCAAAAATGGCGGCTTCTCTTCAGTTTAACTTGAAAGCTTTCAGACCATTTCCTCGAGACTTTCACTTGTCCTTCAGTAAATCATTTAAGCCTGGCCTTGTCAGGTGTTCCGCCGCCTCCCCTCCTTCCAAACGCAGTTACTCTATCACTTTACTTCCTGGTGATGGCATCGGCCCTGAAGTCACCATGGTTGCCAAGAACGTTCTCGATGTCGCTGGATCTCTTGAAGGTCCGTCTGAACCTTAATGGGGTGGCTTGCTTTCGTTGAAAATCACTGCCTTTTGTCTTGTTTATTCTCCTCGTTTTATTTTCTTTGATTTGTGTTACGCAATTTAGTCTCCCTGTAATTCTTGTATTTGGGATTTGATGATCTTCCATTGGTTGTATTGATAGCTTTTTGAATTGTTTTGGACTGGGTTTTGTGCAAAGGCTATCTGTTTCTCTCTGGATTATTTTGCTATGCACAGTGGACTGGATACTTTCTTGCTTTGTCTTAAGTAGAATTCATACTGTAAGTTGATGCATTATAAGATGAAATTGGGTTAGATAATGGGAATATGCAAGTTTGTAATTTCTGCATACCAAGCATTACTGAGTAGAATCCTTCTGTATCTACTTTAAGCTCTTATCTCATGTACTATCCTGTTCCTTTCTTAAATTAGGGATCAAATTTAATTTCCGTGAGATGCCTCTTGGTGGAGCTGCATTGGATGAGACAGGAGTTCCATTACCAGATGAGACATTGTCTGTAGCAAAGCAATCTGACGCCATTCTGCTTGGTGCAATTGGAGGGTAGCTGTCCTTTCGCATTCTTGTGTTTGGAATTTGACGCTAGATAACTTTTATCCTCAAATTCTTCTCTCATCATACATTATGTGTCCTTTCATTTAATTACTTAAGGTATAAATGGGATAACTATGAGAAGCGTCTAAAGCCAGAAACTGGGTTGCTTCAGCTTCGACAAGGACTTAAAGTATTTGCCAATTTGAGACCAGCTATTGTATTCCCACAGGTAAAAGATAATCCCCTTAATACTTGGAAAGTCATTTATTTATTATTTAGGTATAAGATATATGGAAAATATAATATCCTATATGCTAAAAGAAGAAAATTTGACATTCTAATGGTGGCTTATGAAATTTGAAACACGGGGATTTTTAATTTCCCATTCATCTCATGCCTAGTAGCATATAAGCAGACATGTAAACAGAAGTCAAGTCTAGCTTCTATCTTTGCTATCAAATACACGCACATCACATAAAGAGGATTATACTTATTAAGAACATTAGAAGGTCCATGTAACAAAAACTTCCTGTCTGTATGCAATTATTTCAGTTAATATTCTTTAAAATCCAGGTTGGACTATGTTGTGGCTGAGTTTAAGTATAGTATCTGGTGAAATCTTAGCTTTATTCTGTGCCACAGTTATCAAAATTAGACCATCCTATATTATAATAACAAAGGGCATGACTTCATGTTTGATATTATAATCAGATACGAATGATATTCCCTACCTAGTATCTACCATTTTGTATTAGTTTTCAAGTTGGCTTTAGCATTCTATTAATGTTTGTTAATTGTCCTGTAGTTAATGGATGCCTCAACTTTGAAGAGAGAAACTGTTGAAGGGGTTGACCTCATGGTTGTAAGGGAACTCACTGGAGGTCTGTCGGTCTTTGAGTTTAACTCTATATGGTGCATTTGATTTTCTTTTATGATCTTTTAAATGTTAATTTTCAACTATTTTGACAACTTTTAAATTTAATTATCTATTCTTCATTCTTTTCCATTTTTATAATTTTAAAATACTATAGTAAGTCATATGTAACTAAGTTTGTTGCTGCTTTGTTGTATTAGGTATTTACTTTGGAAAACCCAGGGGCATTGGTACTAATGAAAGTGGTGAAGAGACTGGCTTCAATACTGAGATTTATGCTGCACATGAGGTATCTCACTAGTCCAAGTTAGTCCTCTAGATAAAACATCTTTGATATCATGATGTTATCATTTCTTCATGCTATTGCTACTTAACATCTCCTCTGAAAAATTATTTTAACAATTTCTTTTATCTTGTCTTCCTGTTGATTTTCTTCTAGAATTTTATAACCCATGACTAATCTGAATTTGAAAGCTCTTGAAGTAATTTGTGGCAACATAATTTAATCTGATGAAAGATGTTGTGTTGGTTTATCCTTTTATCAAAATTCCAGTTTCTCCAAAATATTTGGATTCTATGTTGATCTCTAGCATTCAAAATGTGTTTTCATGACACATGAAAATTAACATGGTCTGTGCTTTCTTTTTTCCCCTTAAAAAGGTAAGGGCCCATTTGTTTTAGTTTATTTCATGAAAAAATGACTTATTTTTTAAAAAAAATATATTTTGTGAGTTATTATTATGTTGGTTTAAACTTTTGAAAATAATCAGAATAAAAAAAGAAGAAGAAGATTTCTAAGTAGCTTCTTAAAATAATCTAATGTAGTAGATGAAAAAGAGTGTTTTAAAGTGTTGGGATATGTGAAGATATCATAAAATTTTAAAACAATATAATAATAAATTATTTTTATAAAACAAAAATAAAAGAAGATATCATAAAATTTAAAAATAGCTAACTAATAATCACTTTTTTGTTATTATAACCAAACATAAAATGATGTCTGCTTTTTATAAAATCTTTACAAAGTAAATCTCTTTTTATAAAATCTCTAAACTACCTAAAAATCACATATTTTTAATCTCAAATAAACGGGCCTTAAATCTGTTTAGCTATATATGAAAAGAAAGTTTAGAAGAATTGCAAGCTGAACCCAAGAACTGTATAGAATGGGCCAGAACCATATACATGCTGTTGACGTGTGCAAACAACAGTGGGCAGATTGTAAAGGTTAAAAAGATTAAAATAAGGGATCACCATGGAGAAGAGTTAGCATGATTAAAAGATGATATGGCTCAAATTGCTTGAAAAGATATGCACATGACAGGTTTCATAAAGACTGTTTACCTTGGAGGAAGAATTTGCTTGTGAAATAGAATTCATTCGAAGAATTGAAATTGGTGTTTGAATTAAAATCTACGTTGACTCCAAATTAAAGAGTCCTGGGCTAGTTTTTATAGTACATTAACAATCCTTAAATTCTGCTTAAAGATGGAAGTAGCAGTGCAGTTTCCGTCATGTGATGTGAATGCATGTGGATGAGCGTATGCATGCGATGTGTTTTTCTTCTGTCCCTTGGAAGAATTTCTAGTTACTTTTGGACAATCAGCATTTTCTAAGAGGAAGTATATGGGAATATATAAACTGTGGATTCACATTTCTATTTTCCCTCCAAAAATAACTTTATTTTTCTTCCTGAGATCTGTTGTTACTCTCTTGTCCTTATAGAAAGTGTCAACATAATCCCTAAAACTGTGTTTGTATGTTCTTGACATATGTTAATTCTTGCACCAGATTGATCGCATAGCACGCTTTGCATTTGAGATTGCTCGGAAACGGCATGGGAAGCTTTGCTCTGTTGACAAAGCCAATGTGTTGGAGGTACTTAGTTTTGGATCCCCAGTTATGATTGCTACTCATGAATTGGGATTTGGCTATAATACTATTTTGAATCATCACGCTAAGTTTATGGCTAGTCTGTGGTTGTGAGATTGTATGATATATTAATTTTTTGTTGTGCTTATGTACATTTTCTTTTATTATGCTGTCAATAATATATGTCTCAGTTGTGTTGTCATTGAGTTAGGGTTGCCTAAAAATCTTCAGAGATTAGCTTCTCCTTAAAGACAATGACTTAGCTACAATGCCAATATAGTCAATCTGTTTTTTTTTTTCCTGATTATAATTCTTTATTAACCCTTTACCAATGTCGATATGTATTTACAAGTATGTATGATGATGGCTGTAAATTTATGTTTCTGAAGTCTTTTTAGCAACCTAATAATCTCTTGGACTTGAGATGTAGTGTCCATGTGTGGTGACAAGTATGTAAGCATAATTACGTTTGACTTGATATAGTTTTAAGTCCGTGACTTGTCTGAAATCATACGTGGAAGTGCCATTGATAGGATTCTTTTTGTAAGTCTACCTTCTCTTAATAATAAACTTGGTGAGTCAGTGTCGCCAATTTAATGAAGACACAACCTTGGCGGTTCTTGATAAACATATTCGTCAATGTTTTGCTAATGCCTCAGGAATATTATTGGCAGCATTTGAGATTGGGGTGGGCAATATGCGAAATAATTGGCAGCATGAATCAAGTAATGGAATTTTTAAATAAAACTAAAAAGTTGGAATTTATATTATCTTCAAAATTTTACATGACTTAAAAATAATTGAAACTTGCCTATAATTTGGCTACTATTGAACAGTAATGAGGAAAAGATACATGTGGTATGCGATAAATTATGTGCTCTTCCGACAGATGTTATATAGGCATTAGCTTGATCTGTCTCTATATTTTTCAGGCATCAATGTTCTGGAGGAGAAGAATTTTGGCGATGGCACAATATTATCCGGGTGTTGAGCTCTCACACATGTATGTTGACAATGCTGCAATGCAACTAGTTCGCTATCCCAAGCAGGTCTGCTTATGGAATGTATTAGCATAATCTGTGTTTCATTTCAATTGGCGCTCTATTAAATGTAACTCACAGGAGGAAAATTCTTTGAATGAAAAAGTTGCAAGCATTACAATGTTTGATACTGAACTTTGCAGTTTGACACAATTGTAACAAACAACATATTTGGGGATATATTATCAGATGAGGCTGCAATGATCACTGGAAGCATCGGAATGCTTCCTTCTGCAAGTCTTGGAGATTCGGTATGAAAAAACAATCGTTATCATCTTTAGATCATGAGCATGTTTCAAGTAAAGGACTATCTTTTTCACCTGACCATATTGGGTTTTAATTGGTTTAGGGACCTGGGCTTTTCGAACCTATACATGGTTCTGCTCCTGACATTGCTGGACAGGTTAGTTTTTTACACTTTCTATGGTTTGGTTATTTATCTTCAGGCAACTCCCATTACAGAGACATAATTATCATCTTTATACAGGACAAAGCAAATCCATTTGCTACTGTTCTTAGTGCAGCCATGCTTTTGAAGTATGGTCTTGGAGAAGATAAGGCTGCTGAGAGAATAGAAAATGCAGTTTTGGACACCTTGAATAGGGGATTTCGAACTGCTGACATATATTCTGCTGGAATGGTAGGCATGCCTCTCAGTCTCTTGGCATCTCAATGTCAAGAAGTCTTTTCATTGCACTTAAATAGACCTTGAAGCCAAATGCCTGCTATATTTCATCACACTTTACACTTTGTCCGTAATGTCCCTGACAACTTTTAGCTTCTCTAGCTGTTCTTGTAATTCTTATCTTTCTGCTAAATTAACTTGATTGCAATTGTGTAATGCTTGCTTTGTCTGTTCATGCAGATACTAGTAGGATGCAAACAGATAGGTGAAGAGATAATTAAGTCAGTTGAATCCCAAGTTCCTGCTGCAGTATAAATCAGGCGTAGACATGACAGTATTTGCGTACTGAGTTCGGCTTGAAGATCTCTTCTGGTAGACTATGATTGTCATCAACGCTTTTTCTTAATGCTAAGAAGCTAAGAATTTTCCTATACCGGATAATTCCAGGTTCCTTTCTCTACTATTAAAAAAGGAATATAAAATAGTTATTTTAACTCGCATTTAATAGTTTTGAACTGTTGAGTAATTTGACGCTGAATATTTTTGGAACTTTTTTTAACGGTTTTTAACTGTTAAAGTATTCTTATTTTATTCAATAATTTTTTTACAAAAAACTGTTGAATATTTGTTTCAGAGAATTGGCAATATTCAACGGTTCTAACTTTAGAACTGCTGAATAGTTTGCAATATAAAATGGTTGTATGGCACAACTGTTTTATATTTGTTCAATGAAAAAATATTCAACAGTTTTTCCTTGTAACCATTGAATATTATGACCAAGTATTTTAAAATAGAGGGGCTTCATTTCTAGCAAACCCTATGTTGTAAATTACATAATTATATTCTAGCACCTAGAAACAAATTCTAGCTAACAATTATCATACATATACATGAATATGTAACGAATTCAAAATTTAATAATAATAAAATGCTTTTCCTAGCAAAATCACTAAAATGTTTTTCTTAGAAAAGCAAGATGTGTTTGAAAGATGCACACAGAAATACTACAATTAGCAATCTAGTGGATGAGGAAAAACCTTTTATGTCATCAAGGAAATACCCTTGACACATTCAGCTTCACTCTTTCTCTTAGCCTAGTAGTAGATGGGGGAAAAGCTTTTATTTATTTTTTTTTCTTGCTCCTTTACTCTTTTTTTCCCATTCAACTTGAGCTTTCTTCTCCTCTTCCAATTCCAAAGCTATTCTTTTCCTTTTCAGTTCGATCTAGTCAAAAAAAGTAATATAAATTAAGTAATTTTTATATAAATTGATAATACCATTGAATTCGCGAGCAGTAGCGGCAACTATGTCCTTGGTACAACTTTGACATACTTGAAATATGTTATAATCTTCGTGGAAAATTTGATCTGTAATGTGTAGTGTGTAAAAAAAATAAAAATAAAGAAAAACACATATGAAAATAACTGGCTAAAGTACTTTGAAAGCACAAATAAACATCTTAGATTATTTTATATATGAATTTTTTTTAAAAAAAAAATTGTGCTTAGAGCAACCCATAGTGAGAATGGCTAGGACAAGAGAAATTCATGAATGGAATGGAAGAGGAGGATGAAGCTAGGAAGAGGAAGAGGAAGATGAAGATGAAGAGATGAAGGTGCCACGAGACCTACGAACGAACAAATTCATGGCAGTGCAAGGAGAAATTGACAATGGCAACCCAAAAATGATGTTTCAACAATGGAGAAAAGGTGGGTTTGGCTGGAAATGCAATCTTAAAGCTTGGGGAAGGAATTCGATGAAAGTATTTGAGTTTTTAAAGAGAAAATGAAAAGTTTTGCGTTACTTCAAGTAAATGATTCAAGAAAAATTTAAAATAATTTAAAAGATGTTCAACAATTGTTAAGAAATAACTGCTGAATAAACAATAATAAAAATGGATAATAAACAATAATTTAAAAGATATTCAATGGTGGTCATGAAAAAAACTGTTGAGTATCTAAACTCGTTGTAAATAACTGTTGAATATTGGTGGAATTTTAAAAAATAAAAAAATAAAAAAATAAAATAATACTCAACAGTTATATGATACAACAACTGAGTATTGTGATGCAATATTTAATAGTTTTATTAAGAATCGTTCAATATTTGAATTTCATATTCTTGCCTATGTATATAAAACAAGTTTCTTTTGAACCGTTAAATAAATGACGTTGTATATTGTCATTTTTATAATAGTGCTTTAGGTGGGGCAAGACAATGCTAGTCAAGTGAAAAATGGAACATTTACAATGTAGTTTGATGATCACTGTCATTCTGGAAACTGAATCTACATTCAGGTACTGTACTCTCTATAGCGTCCAAGCGATGTGGTATTTACTTCCTTGAATAAGTAACTATGTATGAATCAGTGTCGTTTATAATTCCTTTTCATCAAAGATGAAGTTCTCAAACATCTCAAATGCCATGGTTGAAATGCACGCTAGTCATATATTTGTTTGGATCACATCGCTACATGCAGTGGTTCAAAATGCAGCTTTCTAGTTTTTTTTCCCCTCTTGTGAAATGCAGCATTTTAGGTGAAACAGTACTCCTTATATATGTGTGTGTGTGTGTGTGTGGAAAGGAAGTTCATTAAATTAAACTATGCAGTCTGTATGAGGAGAGTAAAAAGCAATTACATTAGAGTTTTAAAAATGAAAGAAAAAAAAACCTGTGAGTATGATCAACTATAGCTCTAATTTGTACTAGGAAGGAAAATTCATCAATAATATGCTTTGTGAAGATGCGCTTGTTGCGAAGTTCTTATAATTTTCAGCTTAAAATACTAATTTCAATTTTTTAGGAAATTCCAATGTGGTGTTCTCAAATTGTGTCAAACAGCTAAGCGGTAAAGTCCCTCCTATAGAAGTCAGCATACATATCAAAGGGAAGAACTTTTTTCCATATATCTGCTGCAAAAGGACATTATTTGAGGACATGATTAATGCTCTCCATCAGGTCTGGATAAGGAAAAAAGAAAAATAAACAGTACTCTTTTTAATACATAAAAATGTATTTTTTTTTGAATGAAAATAGATCCATAATAATAAACAATGATTACAAGCTAATCATTTTTGCCAGACATCTTTCTTTTATCATCTACCACTTCAATACCATAAGAGAGAGGTTGATGAAAGGTAATATAACAAACAAAATTATTCTAAACCTTGGTGGCTGATAGATGAGCACAAGTGTTAACTTCTCTACACGAAATTCAAATGAACCTATCTTAATAATAATAATATAAAAAAAAAAGTTCTAGTTGGTTGATAACTTCTTTAAACGGGTGATGAGTAATATCACTTTTACTAATCAAATTGATTATTTCAGCACAATCCGTATAGACTTGTACATTATAAAGATTCCTTTTCTAACATAACTGAAGACCATGAATGATATTAATCACTTCAAAAATAGGAGGAGGATAGTTGCCTATATTTGCATTAAAGCCACACATCCAATCAGTATTATGATTTCTTATTACATCTCCACACTTACCAACTCCATCCTTATGAGATACATCAACATCAAGTCTCACTTAGTTGCAAGTTGGTCTCATCCAAACCTCATAAAGGCGGTTGGATTGTCCTTGCACCATGGAGGACGTCCCAAGATATGGAGGTCACCTTTGACTTCATAAAGCGTTGCGAGTCCTTGACTAGTACTCTCTGCCTCCTCGTTTGAAAAAGCCTATTTGCATTTAGAGCACTAGATTTACCAACAGATATATCTAAATAATACATCCTAGGGAACTTGTTTCATAATATCTCTACCAATCTCATTACTTAAATTCCATTTGAGCCACTCCTTGCTGTTCAAATTTTTGAAAGTATCCTGGAGGTTCGGGTTGACAAAGCAAGTCCATCTCTCCTATTAGGCTTGTGCAGGATGCCCATAAGCTCGAGATGCCCGATCCGACCCGAGCAGAATATGCCCAACCCGAGCCCTAAAAAATTGCCCAATACTGTTTGGGCATGGTCGGGCTGAGCCCGATTTTCGAGTTGGGCAGGGTTTAGGGCTTGGGTATCCAACCAATTGACCCTGCCCGGCTCGAGATATAATATATTTTTTTATAAAAAAAATAATATAGGATGTAATTTGTTAACTTGATGGGGACATAAATGGTAGTTCTTTTTTTTTAGATGCCTTGATGATCAAGTTTGTAAACCTTAGGTTAAATATTTTTATATTCCTTAGAATTTAGAATTGAACAGCACTTGTGACTTGCATGAAAAATTCCTTCCATATTTGCTTTGCCATTAAGTTTTTTGATGACACCATAATATTTTTGCTAGTGATATTTAACAATCTATTACTTTTAAAATAAGAGCTTGAAGTGATTTATTGATGGAAATAATTAATTTGCTACAGTGTATTTCAGATTTGTATGGATGGTTCTGATTTTTTATTTCGGTAGGGCAAGGTTGGAGACCCTGCCCGAGGTGCCCGATCCCTGCCCGACCCTGCCCGCCCGACCTCTCCAAAGTCGGCATCTTTCGAGTAGGGTTGGGCTTTGGGCATAGTTTTTTTGCCTGAAGACATTTAGGGCAGGGCATCGAGTTAATGGACTGCCCTACTCAACCCTGCCCATGCACAGCCCTATCTCCTATGCATAGGGGCAGTCTCTCAATAGATGAAGAGCATCTACTTTCCTCTGCATTTCAAAGGACAAAGGTCTGATGTTCTTAAGCCACACCTAGCACGAAGTTCAACAGTGTGTATCCTGTTTTTGGATAGAAGTCACAGCAACACTTTGATCTTCTTAGGACTCGTCCGCTTCCAAAATTTGCTCCAAATTGGGTTACCAGACTGTCTAGTACCTGCAAGGAAAGAATAAGTAGGACGAACACTAAGGCCATGTTTGGTATGATGAAAGAGTTTTTAATAGAATTGGAATCGGAATCAGAATCGGAATTAGAATTAAAATTGGAATATAATTGGATTTAAAAGTGTGTTTGGTATGATGATGAAATCCTGATATAATTTTAATAAAATATAAGTACTTAAAATAAGAAAAGACTAAAGTGTCTTTTTTAAAATTAAAAAAAATTATATTGGAGGAGGGAGAAGGGGCAAACTGGAGAAAGGGAACCATGAAATCGGATTCCATGATGCATGTAATGGAATTAGATTTTACCAAATTTTCTTAAATCCAGATTCTAAAGAATCATAATTATTGCATACTAAACACACATGTTAACAGATTTCATGTCCAATTTCATTTATTTCTCCATGATTTCAAGCTATCAAATGGGACCTAAAATTATCATCATTAGAGTTTTTCCAGATATAAAAATGTATTTTGAAAATGTAAGTTTTCAATGGCGTTCTATATTGCAGTATTATATTCTCTACATTTATAAAGCTATGAATTATGGCAAGCCCTTAAAAAGCCTAGAAATACTTTAGGGCTCATTTGGAAGGCAAGACTAGCTAAGTGAGAGTGGGTTTGAAATTGAAGAATACCAAGTTTTTATATTTGGTAGGTGATAATGATAAATTTATTTTCCAACCCAATTCCATTTTAATAAAAATATCTAGTACCACCTCCACTTACTATTGTGATTTCAATCCTCGAATTGAAATTTTTATGACTGAAATACCCTCATAAAAAAGTTGCCCAATCAGACTTATCTCCTTCCTAAAACCACGATTACTCCACCATCATCACACACGGGATCTCCTCCATCATCTTTGACCTCGCACACTCCTCCATTGAAGATGACTCCGGTGATAACAGGGATAGCCGTCATCGCCGTCGCATGACAGGGACAGAACAGGAGCAAGGGGAGACAGAGATGGAGCCACCCTCCACCTACGACATCAACACGAGTGCGAACAGGAGCGGAGATGGCAGGGGTTGAGCTGCTCCTTGCCATCCGTCGTTCTTCTGGGTTCATCATCGTTCCTCATCTGATTCTGGGTTCATGAAGTCGGGTTCCAAATCAAGGGTTCATGAGATTGATTTTCTAATTCTGATTTAGCATTGACGCCATCTTCAATCCCAGATCTGTGTTTGTTGTTCTTATTCGATTTTTTTTTTTGCCTTCTGCAAATGAAAATATGCTTCAACTGTGAAGGTTATAGCGGGAGAGGGAGAGGGAGGGAGGGGGAGAGAGAGAGAGAGATGATGATGATGCCCGCCGGTAAGGATAATGATGGAGAAGATGAGGGCAATATTGTATTTTAGCTGTTGTAGTTAAACTTAAGTCTCATTTTTTTAATCCTATATCATGATTTTAAAACTTATTTCTATTCTCAATCCCAATCCTAATTTTAATCTCATAAATTTAATATCTTGTATTAAATAGAGTCCAGGGTCAAGTTTTTTCAAAGCCTGACCATGACTCCTTAGCTCACATGGCCTGCAGCCCTAACATGTTTTTTTTTTTTTAAATTTTTTAAAAGTTTTAATACTTTAATCACGTTTATAATTTAAAAAAATTATTTGATAGATAAAATCCAAAAAAATAAATAACTTTAGACAAGCTCAATTTATAGCCACAACAATTCAATAACAACTCTTTAATTGTGCAAATAACATAATAAAAGTTAAACATTTGCAACAACATTAGATACATCATCAAGATTACCATTATCATCATCCTCAACAGTAAAATAATTTGATCCTTTTTTTGTGTGGAACTTTTTCAGTGATAAAAATATTAAGTTTTTCATGCCTTCATCATCCTTCATTGTTAATATAATTTAATTAATTTGTATTTTTATTTAATTTTTTTAAAAATATTAAGGTCTAAAAGGACGGGACTTTCTATTTTTAAGCATTAGATTGGACCCTTTCAAACTTGAATGTCCTTTTTAACTCTTAAATTGCAAGCCTGATCTTACCTAATTTTTCAGCTTAAGTGATTTGACTTGACAAGTTTGACTTGTTTTCTTGGTTTTACTCTGCAATGCCTCTTTGGATCATTTAGTTTCTAAAAATGATGAAAATGGAATGAATTAAAAAAAAACAACTAAATCAACCATCCTTTTTATGATAAACATGATAAAACTCAATATTATATGGTACAAATGTAAAAATTATAACATCATCCAAAACTTTATAAATCATGATTTCTAATGCCATGAACTAAATTACTATTATTCACATCATACTTTGATCATCTTATTTTTACTTTTATTTTTTTAATTCATTTTATTTTATTTATTTTTAATAACTAAACAGGACCTTAATCTTTTTTAAAATGGTTCTGTTTTCACTCATTAAGGGAACAAAATTGCCTGATTGTTGCGAGATTAAATCAAAGTTGTCCATTTAATGTGGGATCAACCCAGTCCATATGGGTTGACCCTCCATCAATTGAGTAAAATATTTGATTGGGTTAATTTACTTGTTGGCAGGATGGGATTTGAATTTTAGAGAAAATATAAAAGTAGGTCCATGCACTTTAATTTGAATGCATTTTGTTTGTAGTTCTTATAATTTTATTACATTATTTCTAACTGTTTTAATTTGATTCATGTAAAATGTTAGTTTTTTAGGCATCTGTTGATATGATGCAGATTTTTTTTTTTAATGGAAGTAGAATTGAAATATAATTAAATTTGAAAACATATTTGGTATAAAGATAGAACTCTATGGAATCTTAATATAACTTTTACTTAATATGTATATTTAAAATATGAAAAGATCAAATATTTTTTTTAAACTTAAAAATGTCGTTCTTATGAGTTGAGTCTGCACAGGCACAAAAATAAAACATATAGCAACTTGTTATATTGTATGAGGGGAGCGAGAGAGAGCACAAATTTTTGTCTTTACATATTTAGGACTTATTTGGATAACCATTAAAAATACATTTAAATTACATTTAAGATGTGTTTTTATCAAACTTAATAAAGAGTTAGATCATTCAAATAAACTTCTGATAGACGTAAACTAAAAACTAAACACACATTTAATTTTAAAAAATCCTCTCAATGTCATCAACCCACCTATCGAGTCAGATTCCAACCTTTTTGTCAGAATTCCATGGCACCAAACATAGTCTTATAATTTTAAAAATGTACGCAATAATCATGAATTGATATCAATGGAGTTAATGTTACTTACATGTACTTAACCCTATCAACACATTCGCTAACGAGTACTTAATCTTGTCTGGGTCTCTCACATTTTATTTAATCCAAATATGTAAGAAAACTTTTCCTCCTTGCCTTTTTTTTTCATTTTTAATCATATCTAATCACTTCAGTTTTATATCAACATATTTTTATCATGTCAATAAAAAGGATTAGTAGAGTTACAATAAAATTAACTCTGTCATTACCAACTCATGATCTTGTGCAGATTTTTAAAATTATAGAAAGTAACATTGTAAATAGATCTAATTAAATGAAATGAAAACAATGAAATAAGACTGTAAAGATTTAAAAACAAAACGTGATCGAAATATATGGACGGACCTGCTACTGTATTTTCCTTTAATTTTATCAACTCAACTATCTAGGGAGAGCAATTTGTGTTCTCCTGAATAAAGTGATAACAAAAAATAAAAATATAATTAGTTATATTCGTTTTCTTTTTCATTTTTAAAAAAGAATTTAGGATCAGCTAGAAATATCCAATTTCAGGCATGATTAAAGTATAAAAGAGGAGGCACTCAAATCCACAAATTTAGATAATTAAATTGGCGTAAACCTACAAAAGACTACAAGTCTAAAATAAATAATAAAACATATTATGAATTTAGTAATAGTTAATTACTAATTTATATGTAAAAAAGTAAATATAAACTTAATTTAATTTATTAAAAATGAATTAAACTATGAGAGCTGGGCTAAAGTGGGTCTACTTCAAATTTACCAATTGTGTATCAAGCGCATTTGTATTTTTCAATTATCAAAACGACTCACAATCACTTCCTCAGTCATTTTTAATTGGATGAATCTAAAGTTGAAATCGGTGAAATTCACATGAAGTTCTTTTCTTTTAATATTTTCACTTATTTTATTATTTTTTATAAAATATAAAATCTTTTTTCTCTTTCTTTAGATGAAAATTTTCATGTAAATTCATCAATATTAACTTCAGGATTTAAATCCTTTTCAATCAATGATTTGAAATATCAAGCGCATTCATATCGCTGTCAGTAAATTATATTTACATTGAGGGATTTAGTCAGGGACAAAAAGAGTACAGTTATTTAATTATTTTATCGAACTTTTAGAATAGTTAAGGTTTTTCCAAAGGATTTTATAGTATTTTTCTCTTATTTTTTAATGATTTTGATTCCATAAATTTATTTTAATTATCAATTTAATTTTTATTGATTTTAAAAAAAGAAAACACTTGTTAAAATACGTACATAGATAACATAATATTAATTTATAATATTAATGTAAATTAATAAAAATGTATAATTATTTGGGTAAAAAAATAGCAAACACATAAATTTTTAAAAGGAAAGGAACAAAATAGGGATTGAATTGAAAAAAATTAAAATAATTTAAAATTTAAATCATTAATATATTTTACATGTTACTTTAAAATTTAAAAGACAAATACGAGAATTTTTTTTAAGAAAAACTAAGAGACTAAATAAATAAAAAATTAAACTCGAAGGGACAGGAAGTTTGCTTATCCCAACGACTTTTCTCAAACATTTTTCAATTAATGATTTGAAATATCATTAACTTATATATTACATGAAAGATTGGTGGATGTATATATAATTATAAAATAATATCATTAAATTACTGTTTTGGTGGAAAGAAACAAAAGCATGGATTAGACAAGGCAACAAATGAAATTAAACTAAACGATCGCACTGCAAGGCTTCGTCAAAAACTTTCCATTAATTTCTTCAACACTCCCAGAATGGATCTTCTTCTCCAACCACATATATAAGATCACGTAGAGATAGCTCGTCTCAGGCTTTTCACTATGCCATTCACCGTCGTGTTGAATCCCTCCCCCATCTGCAACAAATATATTCAATTTTATTTGCTTAGAACAGACAGAAAAAAAGAAAAGAAAAGAAAAGAAATTGTATTGTAGTTCCCAAGAAGTTAAAAGCTCGACTTTTCACTTTTCAGACGAGTCAGAAGGCAACCTCAAAAGTATAACTCAATAAAGTGTTGTGGGGTGAAATATAAGTTGACGCGGGAAAAAGACAAAGAAATCATAAGGTGGGGCGTGGCCAGACCTCTAGTACTAAACATCTTTAATCTTGATTGTAATGTCTCAACGTTTTAATAATTTATTGTGATTATTATTATTAGATTTACGTATATGAGAGACATTTTGAAAGAGGTATAAGGTGCCATTGTTGAATTTTTAAGTATTTTCAAAATAAAGAAATAAATACTGCTCAAAATTTGGATATTTTTCTTTAAAAAATTTCAAGAAATTCAAAACAGAATATATATTTTCATCATCAATTAAAAAATTAAAATATCTCTTATTTTGTATAAAATTTAATGATGAAAAAATCATTCAAGAGGTTGGGGTATTTTACAAGTAGCAATAGAAAATGAAGCATTAAAAACCCCAATCCTAATTAACATACATTTTCTTGAACATTTTGATAAACAAAAGGTGGAACAAACAAATTGTTAAAAAAAACTTTAGCTAAAATATATATTTAGTTATTTAACTTTATGTAATGTTTTATTTTGATTCCTTCATTTTATAAATTATTTTTTTAATTCTTTAGTCCTAACACTATTAGTTTTATTATAAAAGAATTTATATATTAATTTTAGATATTGACAAAAGATTCTCAAATGTTTACCTTTCAATTTTAATTTTTCTAAAATAATAATAAATGATATAAAAATAATCATTTAAAATTAATGTTGCTAGGATTAAAAGATTGAAAAGATAATTTTTAAAATTAAAAAAATAAATTAAAATTTTATATAAAGTTAGAAGGTTAAAAATATGCCTAAAGCTTTTCAAAGACAAACAAACAATTTGTTACAAAGTATGCTAACTTGAGCTGATCGAGTGTGTGTGGGAGAGTACCTGAGCAACAATGGTGATGTCAAGAGTGAACTTGCCAAAAGGCAAGACGCTGCTGCTGACTACAGAGAGATGAAGAGCTTCAAGCTGAGACAATATTTTGTGCATTATTCCCTTTTGTTTCTCACAGTGAATTATTATCAGCACTTCATTCTCCGAAACCCTAGCTTTCACCTCCGGCAGCGACGCTTCATACCACTCATCCGCCGCGCACGTCTCGTAGCACGACGACGACGACGACGACGCGCCGCCCCTGCCACGGGCATAGTTGTTGTAACCTCGGGACTTCCTAGCACTCGTCTTATTCTGCTTCTCAAGCTCTTTCACTCGTTCCTCCAGATAGCTCACATAGTCAATCGCTTTCTCAAGGTTCGTGTTAATGTCCATCTACAGTACTTCACCAACCTCTTCATTAATCAGTTAGTTCTATAAACACAGATACATCATCAAGCACTACGCATGTGTGTGTGTGTAATTCAGAAAGATGATCACAGTGTAACTAAAGAAGACGATTGAGCATCATCGCATATAGCTAATAGTAATTACCACCTGATAATAGGGCCAATTCTCTCCAGATCCCTCCATGGAAGAAGATAGATCACCAGAATGAACGATACTCGATATGGATATATATGGCTTTCCGGGTGCGATATGTGTGTGTGATGATTCTACAGAAAAGTTTTGAAAAGGAGGAGGAGGAGGAGGAAGAGAAGGTGGGGTTGTGATGGTGATCAAGTTTGGATGAGGTACTATAAAAATAATGCTCGAGAAGTGAAAGCTTTTTAAGTTTAAAAAAATGAGGAAACGAGACGTGGACAAGACCTAGTTCCAAAGTTTATACCAGAAAATGTTGTGCTCGCTAAACATGCAGAGCTCATTTTCACCGTTAGATTCATGCTGTTACACGTGTCAAGTATCGAGCCTCACACGTGGACCCAAAAGTGCATTGCCCGTGCTGCTTGCTGATTCTGCAGCCATGGCCCACCTATGCTATTTTTATTTTTATTTTTATCCGATCTCTGACTCTCTCTGTCTTTACCTAGAGGCCGTTGGTCATCGGTCCCAGTAATATAAAATAATCATTTAATTATGAAAAACTATCAATCAAGGATTGGCCGAAAAAAATTTATATTAATCACAAATTATTTATTATTAAAACTTAATAAAAATTAATTAATTTGAGTTAATTTTTTATCAATAAATATTTATTTAAATTTTAATAATAATTTATTATAAATTAATAATAGTAGGCTTTTTTTATTTAAATTTTAATAATAATTCATCTTGATTGATATAAATTTTTTTCAACAATTCTTTATTTTTATTTGTTTCTTTAATTATATGAAGAGAACTTATTTAAAATTTTAACAAAACTTGAACTCAAAATAGATAAATACTCGTCATGTTCATAATACAGGAAATTTTCCTTTTTTATTCCCGCTCGGTATCTTAAACAACCTGAATATATTATTAGCTCTCATTCAAATTAATTTAAATCATATTACGTGAGATTATTATTGTCCACAGTAATTTCATGCATATCTCAGGAATGCTTTTATTGAATATTTTAGGATTCGAACTCGAAATTTTAAAATAAACTAATTAGCTCCATCGAACCAATTGAATTAAGCGCCTCTCACTATAACATAGGAAATTTTCTACAAATCTTACTTAGTTGAAAATATAAGCTATTAGATGGTCATTATGATTCTTTTTTGCTATGTCTCTATTTCATTTATTATTTATTTTAAAAAAATAGTTCATTAAAATTTAATTGTTTTTTTGGTATATACTTGCATAGGATATTTAATAAATGTATGATTGAAAAGACATAAAAATTTTTAAAAGATTAAGATTTGAATTAACTTTTTCAAAATCATAAAATAGTTAAAAAGGAGTATGCTATTTTGTTTTTTTTGGTCCAGCTAAAAGGGTATGCTTTAGAGTTTAATTAAGGAAAACTTACAAATATGTTTACATATTATCCATCATCAATAAATTTCTCACATGGGTTGCGTGATTCGAAAGAACCCATGTGTTCTTATAAAACATGGATTAATTATTTACTAACTAGATTAATTTTTGTTGGTTTATATAGAATTATACCTATATTTTAGAGTTCCAATTATATTATACACCAATTGTCTATGAAAAAAATATAGCCTTTGTTAATAAAAATTGTTGTATGTTGTTTTACCCAAAAAACTGCTTTTTGCTGTACTTTTTATGGAATTATCCACACACACACATCCATGAGGTGTATTTTTGCTTTTAAGCTATTCTTTGAAGGACATTCAATATTTTAAATCATTTTTCATAGCAATTTTACCTTTAAAATAATTAAAATATAACATATTTGCTCTTGACATCAAATACTTCAATGTTGACCGTTAAAAATACTAATTCGGACTCAGGTTTGACAAAAAATGCCACCTACATGCTAGGTGGATCCGAGTTAAGATGTATTTTGCCCTTGAACTATCCTATGAGGAGCACTCAATGTTCTAAATTATTTGTGCTGTTGCAATTTAGCCAATATAGTAATTAAAACGTGTAGATTTCCAAACATATGCAAATAGCTTAGCAAATTCCTATTTTGCCTTTCTTAGTTCAATTTAATTAAAATAAAAATAAGTTTGGCCTGTCCAAACTAACAACTTTAAATTAGGGAGAGAGGATAACATTTTTAACTGTAAGAAAAATTGTGAACTATAGCAAGGGAATGAGTAGATAGGGTTAATTAATAGTAGAACATTTAAACAAGCAATAATTAAAAACGATGGGATGGTCAATTGAGAGAAAGAGGTCCGACTCAATAATACACTTGTTTCTCTCTCTATTTGTTTGTAGCTTAGCATTAAATCTTGCATGGAAGAAGGGCAAAAAAAGGAACTTGTCTTAGTTATTTAAGGATGTTTTGAAATATATTATGTTTTAATTAGGAAAAACATAACTTTAAATCCCCGCATTTTTTTAGTATTTTAAATTCCTACACTTTTATTTTTTAGTATTATAACTATAACACTAAAAAAATAAAAGTGTAGGAATCAATAATATTGAAAAAAGTGCATAAATCTACAGTAAAACTCGAGCAAAATGCATAAATTTAAAATTATGTTTTCCATTATAATTACTTACTTTAGAAGCAAAATTGCTTCAATTCAAATAGTTCATGACAATTGGTGTTTTTTGGAGAATAGTTCAATGAAAACAATATATCTTAACTCAAATTTACTTGGCAAAATATGTGATATTTTTAGTTAGACTTCAGTCTCAATCAACATTTTTAATAGTTAACGTTAAGATATTTAATATTAGAAGCAAGGATATTATATTTTAATTATTTTAGGGATAAAATTATTACGTTAAATAATTTAAGATATTGAGTGCTTTTCAAGAAATATTTTAAAAATAAAAAAGCACTTTAACTATATATATGTATATATATATATATATATATAAGGCATTAAAGGTTAAAAAGTAATTGAAAACAACTACTATGCAGAGTCAGTAAGTCCTGGCTTCTAAGTATCGTGCTGAGCACAGAGGATCATTGTTCCTTGCAATTGTTGCATACAATATGAACAGGCATGAAGAGCATGGGATATAATTAATTAATTAATTAATTAACTGAGTCATGTGATATGCCTAATTAGTCTCAGTCGGTTGACTTTACATCGGATACAACAAAAAGAAAACATAGTAAAATCCTAAAAATAGGCTTTTTGTCCCAAAGTAACATAGTCTGTCATTTTCGCATGACCCTACTCCAGAATCGTTACAAAGTTATGAGGACCATATTAAAATATACTCATCCAGTCTCAATTTATATTTTTTTTAAATAAAATTATACATATTAATAAAATTTATTAAATCTAATTTATAATTTTTATTTTTTTAAATTTTTTTTAAAATATCATTGGCTAAAAAGAAAGAGATGGGGAAAATATATTTGAGTGAAATATTGAAAAAATAATATTGGAATAATCATCATTAATGAAACATTATTTTTAAAAATATATTATATTTTAGGATATCAAATTATTTATAAAAATGTCTTATAAATTGGAATCAGCTTACTGATCAATATTGAAATTTAAATGGACCATTTTTTCAAAAGAAATAATAATAAAAAAATAACAATAAAATCTTCTTGAATTATATAAATAGCAATCCGTTTTCTTAAAATGTTATAATTTCACTAAAATTCCTTTGACTTATATAAATTGCCCTTGTAGTAATATCAAGAATTTGACATGTGAAGTTATAATTTATTGTTGCATTGTTGTGAATATAAGAAATAAAGTGATAATTATTTAAACAAAACTTGTTATCATTATTTGTTATTTCCTAAACTTGTAGCTATACCAGGAATTTGAAATGTGAACTTATAATTTGTTGCATTATTGTGAATATAAGAAAGAAAATTATGATTATTTAAATAAAGCTTGTGATCATTACTTGTTATTTTTAACGCTTATAGCAATATTATGAATTTGACATGCGAAGTTGTGATTTATTATTGCATTATTAGAAATATAAGAAGAAAAGTTATGATTATTTAAATAAAACTTGTAATCATTACTTATTATTTTCAATACTTGTAGTAATATCAGGAATTTGGTATACAAAGGTGTGATTTATTATTGCATTATTGTAAATATATGAAGAAAAGTTATGATTGTTTAAAGAAAACTTGTAATTATTTTATTTTCAACAAGGGTAATTTAGTTATTTATATAAATTCATTAATGATAGAAAAGTCTTTAAGAATTTTAGTGAAATTATGGCATTTTAAGGAATTAAATTATTATTTATATAATTTAATGAGATTTTATTGTCATTTTCTTGTAACAATAAAATAAGGGTCTAGTTAAAAAATATATATATAAACTATATACCATATATTCTATATTTTGGAACAAATAAGAGCTTTTAGAAAATGTCTTATATATACACACACCATAAGAAGCAATAATTAGGATTTGATAATCTGATAGTATGAAATCTAAGTAGACCCTAACTCCAAAAAAAAAAAATTCTGAAAGAAACATATAATCTTCAGACCTTTTTGGATCACCAAAAGTAATTACGATGAAAAGAAAAAAGGTAGAGAACAAAAAGAAAATGAAAGGGAAAAGTCAGAGGAATACAAAATAGAACAGGATGGACCATTAAACCCAAAAAAAAAAAATTGATCAATTGGCCTAGTATGGACCTTTGACCAAAGGTGAGTACAACATTTTTTTTTTTCATTTCATCAGTTAGTAACCTCAAAAACATATCAACTCTTATGTTAGACTAATTTAAACCATCTTATGTGAAATTGTTATTATTAATAGTAATTTCATCAGTATTTTTAAAATGCTTTCAATATATTTATTTAAAGAGTTACATGTTGCAAAGCTTGAACTTGAAATTTTAGAATAAGTTGTTGTAATGTCTTCAACAATTCAAAAAATTAGTTGTTTTTTCTCCAAGCTACTTTTCAGCCAACAAAACAGTTCTTATTATTTGAATTGACCACTAGAACAATGTAAAAACCTTAATAACAATGAAATTGTCGATAAAAAAAAAACATATAAAAAGGAGTAATGCAATCCATAAGCTATAAACAATATAATTGTATCATTTTTGTATAATTTTTTTCTTTTTTCTAAATTCTTCCATGTATCCCGGCTATTCCTTGTAATGATGACATCTGTAAATAGATGCTACTGATAAGGGGCGTTTGATCTTTACAATGTACTAGTGGCATTTCAAATAAAACGCGCAGCCATTTGTGCAAAAAGTTCACTTTTTTTTTTTTTAGTATTTTCTTCTAGTAAGAATCTCCTGATCTCATTATTTTTCCAAAAATATCAATGTTTTAAAAACCAAAATGGGCAATGAACCAAAAAAAGTTAGCATGCTATGGTTTTCATAATTTAATTGATTAGATAGATGATCAAATTAATGATATAATAATTAAATATTTAAAAAAAGAGCTAAAATAACCCACCCCATTTTGGGTCATTATGTTTTTTTTTTTTTTCTGGATCTTGAAAAACCACTAAAATCAAAGTGGCTAGCTGGGGTCAATTGTCAAAACAGGTTAAATGATTAAACTAGATTGCTTTCTTTTTCAAACAACCATCTAAGCCAATCCATGTATGAAAGCACTGGAAAATACTATACTTTTCCTCTCTTCTTCTTTTTTGGTTCCAAAAATTTGGCAATCTCCTTCATCTTCATCTTTGATGAGTTCAAGGACACATTACATTTTCTTTCTCTTCATTTTTTTAACCCCAAGAAATTATTGATTATATATGAAGCCAAATTAATTGTTAGATGACATCAGCAATTAATTTCATTTTAGGAATCCCTTTCAAACAAGAAAAAACAAAAAGAATAGAAAACAAATATTTGTCTAGTCACATTAGAAATGTTTTTACCTCCTGACAAGCGATTGATTATTGAGTTTTGAATGGCTGGCATTATTTTATTTTGATGATGATGATGATGATGATGATGATGATCATTTCACGGGCAATAAGCAGAAGAATAATATTTAAAAGAGAATGCCAATGGCAAGAAAAGCACAAAATAAAAAAGAAATTGGACGGTGAAGAGAGTGAGATGGTGACACGTGTAAGACGAGGAAACCAAGGCAGGAGGGAAGAAGTAGTTTAATAATTTAATTACTAATCAGTCCTAAAATCTGATGATCTGGCAGTGGGTTTAGCTTTCGCAGATGGCTATAAGAGGAAAGCAGACCGTAAGCTTATTACTGTTTCGAATTTCCCATTCACTCTTATTTCTTCTTTCCTTATTTCAATCTTTTCAACTAAATGCAGACTTTGAAGCCATATCTTCAGTACATGCGACGCCACTCTCATTTAGTGAATCAATCTACTTCCTCTCTTTTAATTCTTTTTTTTTTTGAGCAACTCTCTTTTAATTCTTATTTCCTCAAAATACAAAATAAAAAAACAAGAAGAATCAGATGATTCACTAAATGTCTTTCTCTTGTGTCCTTATAAAAGACACTTAGACTTGGTTGGGATGGAGAGAAAAATAGAAAGAAAATAAGGAGGAAAAAAAACGTCAGGCTTGTTCGACAACATATTTTGTGAATAATTTTTTTATTCATCATAACAAAAAAAATTATTTTGGTTATGTGTTTTTAAAAAATATTTTGAAGAACCAAAAAAAATCAAGTATTGGTCTGGAGAATAAAAGATAAAAATACTTTTCAGGTACTTTGGAATTTATTATTTTGTAAAACAAGAGAAAATGCAAAAAAATGCTTATTTCTATTATTTTTTTGTTCTTAAAACATTTTTTGTAAAAACCAAATTACTCTAATATTTTTAGGAGTTTTTCCTTCTAATATTTTTTACTCCCTATTTTTCTCTCCATCCAAACAAAGAGTTAGTCCATCAAAATAGAAGTTATATGAATAAGGCATTTATAAGGGTCATTTCAAGGATTTTTTATACATGCATACGTACATTTCAGTAATACAAAAATCTACTTTTTACGTCAGGGTTTTATAGTTAAAAATTATTTTTAATATATATTAAAAATTTTATAAACTTATTTTTAGTATAATATTTTCTTTTAACCTTTGAAACAATACATGTCACTCATATCATTAACAAATGTTAATTTTAACTGTTAGTTAATAAAAAAACAGAAAATGACAACAAAAGTTACAAAAAAAGATCAAAGAAATTACAAATTAGTAACATTTATTTCTTGATATTTATTTGTAACTCAGAGAACTTAATTAGTATAAAATTTTTTATATATTGCTTATTTGTAATTCTTTTGGGTCATTTTTTATAATTTTTAAAATTCTTTTCTATAATTATTTGGTACCCCATTAATCAAATTCTTCATCCGCCTCTACTAACAGTGTGATTATTCATAACATATGAATAATGTGGCTTATTTTATGTGCCATGCAAGGAAGAAATTTAAACTAGTTAATGCTTATTTTTTAAAAAATGGGATTTTATTAATTGATATTGTATACTGTCAGCTATTTCTTTCTCATGTTTTATTTAATTCCTAAGATTATATGATTTAATGAAATTTGTATCATTCTTGGCAATTTTCAACATTTACAACATACCATAGGGATCTTCTTGTGTAGAATAACCTGTAAGAAAGGAGAAGAACAATTAATGTGTTGAAAAGGTTTTCGTTGTTTTGTTGTGGCCGCGAGGAGAGCTTACTTTCACTTGGAAATGCTTGCATTAGAATGAGTGGCATTATTTCATACACTAGCACAGGGATCAACGTTACAACAATCAATCACTTTTTAACTTTGTTGGTTTGTAATTGTTGGTTGTATGTCAGAGTTGTTAATTCATGCAAGGTGATCTCCTTAGTCCCTACATTTTTATTTTATACACGGAGTGTCTTGGCCACCTCATTAAAGCTGAATGTGATGCCAAAAAATGGAAACCCCTCAATTCAACAAAAATAGTCTTACTATCTCACATCTCTTCTTTGCTGAGAACCTTATCCTCTTCTCTGAAGCATCAATGGAACAAATGAGAGAAATGAAAAGAATCTTGCACAGCTTTTGCTTGTCTCTGGCCACAAAGTAAACTTGGACAAATCTAAAATGTTTGTGTCTAAAAATGTTCATTTTAATAGAAGGATGGAATCGTGCCAAAGCCTAGGCATAAGGCTAACTTTGGATTTAGAAAAATACCTTGGGGTGCCAATCATCCACTCTCGTGTCACAAAATCTACCTTTCTTCCCATCACACAAAAAGTACACAATCGCCTATCTAGTTGGAAAGCAGATGCCTAAACATTGCAGGGAGAAGCGTCGTTATCAAAGTTGTTCTTTTTGCTTTACAAGCTACCACATGCAGCCTGCTCTTCTACCCAAAGGTACCCTTGATGAGTTGGAAAAGCTTCGTAGAAATTTCCTTTGGTCTCAAGATAATAAAACCAGGCTCATGCATTTGATCTCTTGGGAGCAAGTTCTCAAAATCAAAAAAGATGGAGGTCTTGATATAAAATCCCTATGGCACTAGAATCAAGTTTTCATCCTCAAACTCTGCTGGGGGCTGTTAACTCAACACAATGCTTTATGGGTCAAATGCTTGAGATCCAAGTACAAATTTAATCCTCTCGCAAACACATGTCAAGAAAAACAATACATCTCGCTAACTTGGAGATCTATCTGTGAAGTTTGGGACACTTTCATGATAGGTATAGGCAAGAAAATCTCCAATAGCAGAAATATACTTTTTTGGTTGGATTTGTAAACCCCCTTGATAGGCCCCTTATATGCTTTGTTGAAAGAAATAGCTCCTCAATACACCAATCTGATAAGGTTTGTGACTTCATCAACTCAAGTGGTGGATGGAATATTTCTTATTGCAACAAATTTCATCCTAGCTAGGTAATCAATATAGTCTGGAACATTCCCATTCCTATAAGTGCAAATGATGATGCTGTGGTGTGGAGACCAGCTACTGATGGTTTATTCTCAATAAAGAGTGCCTACAAATTTTTGTATCAATATAACCATGTCTACCCAACCTTCCTTATAGATTAAAATTTGGTATTGGTAAATTCTAGAAAAAGTTAATTTTTTTATGTGGCAAGTGGCCTGTGAGAGAATTATGACAAATTCACTCCGAGCCTTAAGAGGGATAAATGCCTCAGCTTCTTGTCCCTTTGATTGTCACTATGAGGAAAGTATCATTCATCTTCTTCGAGCTTGTGAGAGAGCAAAACAATTGTGGAAGGAAATTTTACATCCTAACTCTTTTTTGAATTTCTTTGCTGGTAACTTACAGATGTGGCTTAATTGGAATTCCAATTCCAATCCAGGATGAGGTGAATACAGGAAATGGCCTTGGACATGAGTTTTTAGTCTAGTTTGTTGGGGATTTTGGACCTTTAGATGCACTCTCATTTCTAAAGGACGATGTCCCACCACAAAAGAGATTCTACATAAATGCACACACTTTCTCTTGGAGCAGGTAGTCAATAATGAATTGAAGTACTCAATCTTTCATCAAGATGCCAACTCAGTAGACATTTGGACTCCACGACTGACTACATTCGTGTTGATGTAGATGGTTGTGTATGGAATTTTCAACATGTTGCTTGTGGAAGGGTCGTTAGAGACACCAAGGGGAACTGGATGATGGGCTTTCATAAGAACCTTAGAGCCTGCTCAGTTACTAATGTAAAAATATTGGCCATCAAAGTTGGGATCGAGGTCTGCCAAGATCTCAATCTTGGCAAAATCTCTATCCACTCTAATTCCATTGAGGCCATTAACACTTTGAGACGAGACAATCCCTTAGATCACCACTTAAGAGATGCTATTGATTACATTAGAGATCAATTATTTCTCATGCATGATGTGGAATTACACCATTCTCATAGAGACATCATCAGATGCATGGACTTCATGGCAAGACAAGGTCACAATGGCCCTCCTACCACGACTTTGGTACCTCATGTACTTGTAAATTGTTTGTCCATGTATCTTGAAGATAAGAACCATCTTTAGGTTCTTCTTTTTTATTTTTATTTTTCAAGCCTAGCTTGCCATTTGTAAACAAAAAAAAAAGATTGTTAATTTAGGTGAGCCTGATTTATTTGAGTTGGGCTCAATTTAAATAACTTGGATAAATCTAAGTTTATAAAAAAGACTAAATAGCCAATCTCGACCAAAAACCCTAAGATTTTCGGCTCGGTCCAAATACTTGAATTACAAAATATTTTATTATCTGTGAGCCAATTAGAAACTTTATACGTGCAAGAAGAAGCCAATTAAGTGAAACACATATAGATTCTTCATGAAAGGGTTTAAAAAACCATGATCTAGCCAACGAGAATAAAATCAATGAAGATAACTTCAACAATATTGAAGAACATGCCCAACCAAATGACAAATGAAGCAAATTTTGGTAGATCTTTCATAAAAATAATGAAATCAAACACAAGTCCATATGCAAAAAGAAACATTTCTTGAGATTTTTGTTATATTGTCCAAATGTAAGTGAATTTAAGATAATATAAGAAGTTTCACATTGAATAAAGTTAGACTTAATAACTAATATATAATTAATTAAAAGAAAATGACTCATAAACTTAAGTTTTAATGTTTTGAGTAAAGATGTAGCTTTCCTCCGCTAATTTTGGGCATTTTGGTTGAGTTAACCGTTACTTTTTCCCGTTTTTCCTCTCTTGTTTTTAGACGGTTGCTCTTCCATCCTAATAGTTTCCATTTTTGAAAAACCACCAAACATCCGTTGGTCACCCATGGTCCACCATACGGCACACGGTTAAGATCATATGGTAAAGAAGATTAAAAAGTGGTTGTTATAAGATTGGATAACTTGAACGTCACCTCTAAGAATCCAAAACCGTGAAATATAAGCTTGAGACTTGGACGGATATGAAATCTTCTAAAATCATGAACTTGAACAAAAGCATAATGATTTTCATGCCAGTCTTGATCAATAAACAAAGAATTCGTAGAATAACTAAGAAAGCTGGGAAAGAAGATGGAAACAAGAAGAGAAGAAGAAGCAGGAAACTGGAGAGATAGAAGATAATGAGAAAGAATGTGAGAGGAAGAGGAAAACCTCACACTCCAAAGGGAAAACTCTCCAAAAGTTCATTCACATTTTTCCTTTTCATAATATCTTCTTTTCAAGTTGTCTGCGTTAATTTGATCAAGAGGAGAAGCTATTGATTCATTTTTTTTTTTTGGGACTTTTATGTGTAATTTTTTTCCTTTTAATAATATTTTCTCTTTAGGTAAAAAAAAAGGAGCTGGCTATGATCAATTTATTTTTCTCATTCAAAAAATTCATTTTTTTATTCATGCTGTGGTCAAAAAACTTTTTCATTCATATCAAGTTTTTTTCGACCCAGTCGTCATTGATGAGTTATCCCTCTCTCTCTCTCTCTCTGTGTGTGTGTGTGTGTGTGTGTGTGTGTGTGTGTGTGTGATTGGACTCGATTATGTTTTTTTCCCCCTCGACCAACGACTTGATTATGTTTACAATTCTAGGCATCCTCAACTTTAATATCAGCGTTCACCCGGGAAAAGTAAGTAGTATAATTTTTTTTTTTTGCCCGGGTATAATTCAAATCTTATTCTTCACAATTTATTATAGAAAGTTAGAATGATAAATAAATCCCACGCAAATATACAAATGACAAAAAAATATATCACAAAATGAAGTAATTACTCTGAAGTGATCTCTAGAGACTCAACTAACATATTTTTTTTATTTAACATTACGTTGTTGACCATCTACAAAATAATAAAAGTCGTTGTTAAGAACTAAATTGAAATTATTAATAGGAAAAATAAAGTTGTTAATATAAAAAGTATAGTTGTTATTACATAATTAAATTTGAATAGTTATGAATACATAAATAAAAGTTATTAATAACTAAGTTGGTGTTGTTAAGAGAGGAATTGTACTTGTTATCGCATAAATAAATTAACAATTACATTTTCTATATTACCAACTTTACATTTGCTATTGACAACTTCAATTTAGGTTTTAACAAGGTAACTATACTTTTTATTATTTTGCAAAAGGTTAAAAATGTAATTTCACAAAAAATATATCAAATAAAAGGACACCAGAATAATTATCTTATTTCGTGGAATTCTTTTGTCATTTGGGGTGAGATTTATTTGGTATTCTTCCATTATTATATACACTGATTGTTTGATGATAAACCTATGTATTATATGCCTTGCATACATTTACCGCGTTTGTACTCTATGATATAAATTCTAATGAGTTATCCCTTATATTTTTTTTCCCCTCTCTGATTGAACTGTAGATAATTGTTTCAGGTTTGGTTTATTGTTTATTGTTCTAGGCATCTCAACTTTAATATCAGCGTTCAACAAGGAAAAGTAACTGGTGTGTGTGTATTTACCCGAGTATAATTCAATTATTATTATCCATAGTTTATTATAGGGAGAATGACACATAAATCACACTCAAATATGCAAATGGCAGAAGAGTACCATAAAATAGGATAATTACTTTGAAGTTCCTAAAAACTCATGTGACATTTTTTTTTTGGCAAAATTAACAATTGTTAAAATAGAAAGCATACTTGGTTATTGCATAACTAAATTAACAATTACACTTCTTATATTAACAATTTTATTTTATTTTATTATTAACGACTTCAATTTGAATTTTAACTACCACACTTTCTATTATTTTTGTAGAAGAACGTAATTTCACAAAAAAAAAAAATCAAATAAGTCCCTAGACACTTCAAAGTGATTATTTTATTTCGTGATAATATTTTGTTATTTGTCTATTTAGGTGGGATTTATTTGTTTGCTGGATAAACCTATATATGTATAATATGTGTTGCATGTGTTCATTACGCCTATGCTCTGTTTGTAATAGAAGTTTTTTTTTTTTTTTCTTTTCTTATGACCTAGTTTGTATGTAGCATATTTGACCATTCAACGTTTAATTTTCATTTCATCCAATAATCTATATATTGAATAGAGTCTTTGCATGTGAACGAGGAAATTTTCATAGTCATCCGCCTCTTCATCATCAACAAGCCTGAGCTCCCTACATTCATCTTTCTTTGTTCTCACTTCTCGCTTCTTTTCTTCGTCTTCGAAATCTCAATAGTGTATTATATGACATTGGATGTTTTACAGTTAAATCTAATTAGCTTATTTTTAAAATTAATGTTGACTTTTTGAAAATGTTGTGAGTATTTATGATTATCAGATTTGGACTTGCTTCATGGTTGTATTAGAGTGTATTAGTGTTATAGTGTGCACCTAGATTATGTGAACCCTTTTTAATGGTTTGTGTTTGTTTAACTGTGAAGTATGTGGATTAATAATAATAATTTTCTTTGAGTTTAATTATAATTTTTAATATATGATATTTAAAATATATTAAATTAATTATAAGTGGTCCGACCCAGTTAGACAAAGATCAGATTATTAAACTATAAATTAATATTTTGACCAATTTAATATTCGATTCAGTTTTGGTAACATTGATCAAGTTCTACTGCATTTTTTTTTTGGCAATATACCGCAATTTTTAATTAGAATATGCTATATTTTATTTCATTTTGGGCCTAGTTTAGTTTGGTCACAACTTGGTACTAAGCCATGGGCCAGATGTCATAACCCAAGTCTTTCTTTTCTTTCTATCTCTCTTTTTAATAAATAAAATAGATTATTTTGATTAAATTCATGGAGTTTAAAATAAAGATAAATAATTTAAGTTTTAATTTGATCATTTTTTCCACTAATAATTAGAACACTTCAAAACTTTAAAAAATGACACAAGAAAAGAGGAGGGGAAGAATCAAATCAATCTTAGGTAGTGTTTAGATTAGTAAATTTAAATTTAAATTTAAATTTTAAATTTAAAGTCTCGCATTTTAAATATCACATTTAAAATTTATGTATTAAAATTTTTTATTTGAATAATTCAAAAAATTGAATTGAAAGCAAAAAGTTTATTTATATTTTTCAACTGATAAAAGATGAGAACTCGAGATAAAAGTACATAATAGTTATAGAGGCACCGATAGTAAGAGCATGAAAAGAATAAAAGGTTTGAAATGATTAAAATTTTAAATGGTTATGGTGTGAGGATAGTTTGAAATTACAAAAAAAAAATAATAAGAAATATATTTGTATTTGAATAGAATCCAAATCCATATATTTATGTGTATTCAAATGAGGAATTTAATTTAAATTTAATTTTTTATTAATCCAAACACACCAAATAGAGTATATACTCCTAAGATCCAAGATCCTATGTATAAAACACTTATAATATGTTTTACTAGAATAAAAAAAATTAAAACTTATTAGCTTTCTGTAAAAATTTAATAAAAAAATTTCAACTATGCCCATATTATACATATATATGCTTTAATAATATAATTTCTCTCAACATGTTTAATAAATAAAAAATAAGAAAAATTTATAATAAAAATTTAGTGATATAATTTATAAATAAAATTAAAATTTTTTTTTATAAATAAAATTAGAGTGGGTGTGCACCTACACTGTCGGATATAGAATACTAGTGGCTTGGATTTTTACAATTAAAAAGTCGTTTTCCAAAAGCTGCAATTGGCCAAACGTTGTTTGGGAAAAATCATTGGGAGGAGGCCGAAAGCACATTTACCGAACACATGATGAATGATTAGCTTTTGAGAAGTTGATATGTGCTTCACTTTTGCATATATTGACCGGATGGAAAAAGACTACACACGTTGCTTGTGTATCATTTCATTGGCTACAAATACCTTCCCTGAATTTTCCACATCCACCGAACCTGAAAGTAAGGAATAAGAGTTGGGCTTGTCACTTCTCATTTAAGCTCTCGTTCTTTCAATTTCAGTCTTTGAAAAGTGAGGTTTTTTTTTTGAATAATTTTTTATATTTAATCCGTTTAAAATTGTAAAAAATATATTGAGGCTACTTATTTAATCTTCTATTTATTTTAAATTTGAAAAATTGAGGTATTT